ATAATTTGAAATATTTAATTATCATTATTGAGAATGAAGAAAAAATTGATTAATCAGTTAAGCACTTTGTAAAATTTTACAAAAAAAATCTCTTATCATGATCACTATAATTGTATGCAAATTAGTAGCAGTTTGTTTAACATAATGTTTAATTAGTTAAATAATTAATTGCAAATGTTAGCAATAACTTTTCACATCATCAAAATGATGTCAAATTATAATTTTGCTATGATAATTAAACGCCAGAATTTCTTGCATTTGCTATTTAAGGTCTTATTGCTACGGTTTGTTATTTGAAGGCTATTTATACATGACACTTTCACATTTTGCTTCGAAAAATAGCTCATTTCGCTCATTAACTTCTCTCAAATATTCATTATCTCTTTGCTGTAAATATTTAAATGACGAAAATTCATTATCATATATACTCAACTTGTCATAAGGCAAAAGGCGGTTGTTTACGAGAAAGGATATCTCCTCAACTTGATCATTTCCTTAATACCTTATTAAGATTACTATGTAAATTTTTTCATTGATTTATCGCTCTCTCTCTCTTCCTCCTTTTTTTTTTCTCTCTCTCTCTTTTTCCTTCCGTAATTTTCAAATAATATTAATGTACTTCATTATTAATTAAATTGAAATTAAATTTAATGAGAATGATATATGAAATGTTTACCTTTTCAGAAATTACCTTTAACGAATAACATCTATTTTAAGTTAATATTAACTTTTTCTATTTCTTGCATTACAATATCATTCTAAACATACACATATAATTTTTTTTTCCTTAATTTAAATTATATTTCTTATTTCTTTTTCTTTATTTAAAATATTTTTGGTGGCTTTTTATCACATAAAGAATATTATCTTTCTTTCTCCTCTTTTTTTTATTTATTTAAAAAATATCATTGAAAGAAAATGGATTTAAAAATTATCCATTATCCTTTTTTAAATTTTTACCATTAAAAAAAAAAAGGAAAAATAAAAATATTTATTTTCATTTTTTTTTTTTTTTTTCATAAAATCAAATACAATTAACATTTATACACATAAAATTTTTCAGCAAAAGCATTCATTCAAAGGATTTGCAATTTAAAAATTATTTTGTTAAAAATAGTTGCAAATATATATAAGTTAGTATAATTATTAAAGTGCTCATAATTTATGAAAAAAAGTTTTATAAGTATGATAAGTTAATATTAATTAAGTATTATTATTTGATAAAATGAATTGAATATAGTATTATTGTGAGAATAATTAATATTTTATTCTAAAATAGTATTATTCTATCATTAAATTAAAACAATTGATGAATACATTTAACATTATCTATTTTTTCACTTTTTTTTTACATTATTAATTAAAATGTTTAAAAATTTTTTTTAAAAAAAAATACATCTATACATTTTTCAAATTAGTCAAATAACTATTAAAGTTAAAGTAAACAAATTCAAAAAAAAAATAAAATTAAATTAAAAATTAGCTTTACATAACTTTCTTTTTACTATTTGATGCATTTTAATGTATTAATATAATTAAATGTTGTTTGAGCGTTTAACTTTTGAATAAACAAATTCACTAATTCCAATTTAATTACATTATATTGCATAATTTCATGCAAATTACTGAATTACTAATTAGAAACTAATTTTTGTTTTAAACTAGTTGATTTGCATAAAATTGCAGTTGAATTAATAAATTAATGCTACAAAATTGCTGAAAATTAAATAATTAATATCGGAAATGATTAAAATGATATTATTTTCTTGTAAGTTATTCATTTTCATGTTTAACTTTTTCAATTTATGATTTATAATATTATTCCAAAGCTTTTTTTTTTAAAAAAAAATTCACTCTTTAATGAGCTGAATGTAAATGGAAAAAAAATTTTTAATATTACTCTTGGATTAAACAATTTTTTTTCTATTATCAATTTAGTATTTAATTGATAATATTCAAAATTATTTAATTTTCTGAAAGACATTTATTTATTCAAAAATAATTTTGAATTATTTGATAGAATGAAGCGAAAATTGTTGTATCCATGCATCGATTGGTTGATGATTATAATTTATTGATTTGATCTTTATGAAATTGAGCATAACAAGTTTTATCATTTTATAATTTAAAATTTATTACATTGCAGAAGGTATGAGAATTGTAATAATAATATAAAAATTTTGAGCTATCAGAAAAAATTGATTTTAGTCCAATCAGTGACTAAATTTATTCATCGTAAAATGCAATTTGTTTTTTCTTCCACTTTTTTTTTTTTTTTGAAACTTACTGATACTAATATTAAAAGTAAACGATTAATTAAGTACTTATGCACAATCATTTGCGAAGATGAAAAACTTTTTTTATTATTTTTTTTTTAACATTTATGAAAAGCATTAAAATTCTTTTTTTATTTTAATTTTTATCAAAATTTTATAATTTTTTTCCAGTTAACTTTAAATTTTCAATTTATAAAAAATTTTACTTTTAATCATTGATTTTTACAAATAAGTGATTTTATGGCATTAATTTTATCCCTGAATAACACTTATCACTACTGATACTATTATCATTGATATCATTACTTAGATGTATTATTATTCATAGCCTAGCTATTTTTAGAATCACTCTCCATAATTGTTGTCTAGAATTGAGCATTCAGAAATTTATTTTTCTAATTTAGATGACCACTTCTACAGGACTATTCTATGGCTATTTTATTTTATTTTATTTATTTTTTTTTTTTTCAATCATCTCTTCATCATCATCAAATTACCAACCATTAATTTATTATTGTTGCAATAATGATAAATAAAGTCATATTCATCTCATTCTTGTTAACATTATCATCAGCACTTATCACTATTGATATTATTATCAGTGAGATTATCATTATTCGATTAGATGCTTTGTGCTGAATTTGATCTTTTTTAATTGCGCTTATCAGTTTAGTTATAAATGTTATTACTATAAATAGCATGATCATAGATCACAAAATTTAGGTGAAATTTAGATGAAAAATAAATAATTGTTGTTGTTAACCATTTCAAACTTGATAAACGAAATAGAATGAATTAGTTTTAGTGTAATTTTTTACTTTCTTTTTTTTTCTCTCTCTCTCTCTCTCTCCCTCATATAATTCGAATTTCATTTTTTTTTTTTTTTTTTTTGATTGATTACTGTTTTTCATATTATCAATTGCAATTTTAGAATTCTGAAATGTTATTATAGAGTGATGAAAATATAAAAAATAAAAAAAACCTTAACCCTTACAACAATAATCTTTCATCATTCTCCACCAATCAATACTGCACTGTTTGTTAGATGAAAATTTTCATTAAATTCAAATTTTGAAAATAAAGTTAATAATCGAAATTTTGATATGTTTTTTTCGTAATTTGCTAAAACTTCCAAACATCGATATTTTTCAAATTCTTTATTATTGCTATAAAGCATTGAGAAAAAAAAAAAATTTTGTCTTTAAGCAAATCCCTAAAGGTTTAGTTTATTTTAAGTTAAGCAAAAAAAAAAGTGGAAGAATAGACGAATTGAAAGTTGCATTTAAGCAAACAAAAAAAAATATATGTATATTCTTTAGTTGTAAGTTGAAAATTTCATTTAAAATAGTAGACAATTTTTAAATCAAAGAAATTTTTTCTTTCAATTTCATTTTTTCAAAAGTATATTGACAAAATTTTGTAACTTTAAAACAACATTTGTGCATCTTTTTTTCTCTTTCATCTTCTTCTCTTTCCTCAATATTTACTTCAAAGAAATCCGGAAATACGGAAAGAATTTTAAATAAGCTATAAATTAAAAGAATCAGGTAAGAAAAAGATTTAAAAAAAAAATCATATAAAATTTAGGTTTAAAAAAGTGATAAGTTCATTTAAATGAACTGTGAAAAATAAATTGTTGATAAAGAAGGAATGAAAAAAAAAAAAAAAAAATTTTATTCTAATTTCAAAAACCACAAGCAATTAATTCATCGTATTTATATTTCTCTCTCTCTCCCTCTCTGTCTTTCTCTCCCTTTCAGTAAATATTGTTTAAAAATATGTTTGAACTAATCTTTCTTCGTTTTCTTTTTTTTTTTAAAAAAAAAAAAAAAACTAATAGAGTTTTATCTCTTTACGAAACAACAAAGTATCTGTCTGCATTTTTGACTACTCAAATTTTTCATTTCCTAATACTATCACCTAAATTTGTCCCTCTCTCTCTGCCCCTCTCTCTCTCTCTCTCAGGTATTTATCATTTCTTTCTTCTTTTTCTTTCTATCTTCTCATTCCTTTCATCTTTCCTCATTCTATCAGTATTTTCAAAAATTTTTGATAAATTTGATAGCTTTCAATAAATTCAAATGATTAACTGATAACAGACAATTGCACTATATTCTTTTGTTTCTGATTAAAAATACAGAATTAAATCAAAAATTATTTACAAAGATTAATGAATGAAATATATTTATTCAAAGTGATTCATTTATCAAACAACAAAATGAGTTGATTGATCGAGTAAGAATTGATTGAATCAAAACCCATTTATGATCTATGATATAAAATTGTTCAAGTAAATTTGATAAACAAGAAATGATTATGCTGAAAATTAAATTTTATAAAATAATTTGCCATTAATAATATTAATTATCACTCAAAAAACTAAACAAAAATATATATCATTCAAATAATACAAATTCAGAAGGATAAATTGAAACAAAATGCTTATCAATATTTGTCAAATTTTCCCATTATCTTATCATATCAGTAAATTACTCTTTTCATGGTATCATATCACATCTTATCATACCATATCAATTTAGCACAAAATTATCAATTAATCATTGATTATATGCACCAATCAAACTTTTCATCTTTTATTAATTAATAAAATTCATTTAATTTTAACAAATATGAATATATTTCATGTATTTCACTACAAAATATTCATTTGTTTAATACTTGTTTAGATTGATAGCTTCAAAATATCGGAAGTGAAAATTCATTTTTTGAAAGGTTAATTGTAAGTCACGTGAAAGTGCGCAGTAAACTTTACAAGTTAATCTATCAAACGTTTCAAAAAAAGAATGAAAAAATTTCAGCAAAAAAAAATGGTTTTAAAAAGCTGAATTTTTTTGCTTACCAACTTCATTTCATTTTAGCTTCATTCATCTCTACCCACTTCTTTACGATCAGTCATGGTTGATCAATTTACTGATACTACTGATAACTATCATTGTGATATTTAATTATCATTGCCTTTAAGTTATTTTTTACATTATTATCATTATTTGAAGCTGTGGTCCAATTATTGTAAAATGAAATTTATTTCATTTAATTAAATCATATTATAATGGAATAACAAATTAGCAAATATTATTACAAAATGATTTGATCAGATAATCAAATTAATTAAATTTTATTTCATTAAATTTTTACTATTTTATATGTCTTTTTTTTGAATATAAATTTTTTAAATTTGAAATAAATTATAAATGTTAAAGTCATTGACAAAAAAGAAGAAAAAAAAATAATAATAACAATTGGTTACAAGATTAACTGATGTTATTTTATTAGGAATTTGTTTATTCATTTTCATTAAATCATATATATGATTTTGTTTTAAAAAAATTTTTCATCAATAGATTTCATAGCATATTTTATTTCACTTTTTTTTTTTTGAAATTTTAATATGTTCTAATGAAAGAAACTTATCCGTTAGATCATATCCATTAAATTGTTCGACATTGTTAAAAATTTGTTTAATGAAGCAAGAAATTGAAAATGTAATGAAGCTTAAATTATTGCGTGAGAAAAATTTTTTTTAAAAAAAAAAAAACTTTTTCTTTTAACAATGACAATGTTTCTTATACCTTTGCAATTTATATTTAAAAGAAAATAATTGAATAAAATAAATTTGAATTTAGATTGAATTCAAGTGATACTAATAATTCTAACTGATAGGATCACTTTGAAAGAGGAAAAACGAATTATTTTACTATTTCTAATTAAAATAAAACAAAATAAAAGTGATTTTATGAGACAAAATAAATTAATCTAATGATAATTGCTTTTTTGTTTTAATTTCTAATATAAGTTTTATTCTTATTTCTATTATTTATATGTTATAGAAATATCTAAAATATTATTTTTTACTATTTATGTTAACAATTAAGCAATTTAATTATTATTTAGTTTATTTTTTTAATTATTTATTAAATAGTGTGACTAAATTAGTCAAAAATTTCATTTTTTTTTAGATGAAATTAAATAGTTTATTCTTTTTTCATTTCATTATTTTTTGTCGATCTTTTGTTATCAAATTCATCTAATTAATCAAATTGATTACCTGTAAAAAGAAAAACAGAAACTTTTATTCCTATAAAATTTATTAATTAATAATATTTTGAGCGTTTTTTTTTTTTTTTTTTTTTTTTGCATGGGATAAAATTATTTTGATTTAAGCTTTGAAAAAAAAAAAAAAAAGTAATATCAAAATTACAAGTTTATCAATTTTTATCTAAATAAAATCTAATATATTATTTGCAAAATATCTAAGATTAAAGAGAAAAAAAAGAAAATTAAAAAATACTATCAGCAAAAATTGAACAAACAGCAAAAAAAAAAAAAGAAAAAATAATGATGAATTTATATCCTTTTTGTCTTATTTTATCCTATATGCTTAATCTATTAATTTTTCAAAAAAAAGAAAAAACTAATTTCAATTTTCATTCTTTGATCTTACATTTCATTCCATTAAGGCCTTTCATTGAAAATTCAAATATTAAATTTCTTTTCATTTAATCTAATTATTTTAAGGCTAAAATAAAAGTATTAATTAATGGTAATCATATCATTACAATATTGTCTAATAAAAAAAGAAAAGAAAATCAATTATTTCCTTTCATTAATCTTTGTGATTTTTTATCAAACAAATAAATAGGAAAAAATAATTCGTTTTTCTTTTTCATATTTTTTTTTTGCTCTAATTAATAAAATATGCATTGAAATTAAAATATTTGAAATAAAAAAAAATGAAATTCTAAATTATACATAAACAGCAAAATGATAAAACATTACAACAGTTAGACTTAATTATAATTTAAATTAATTTTAAAATTAAAATTTAGAATCCATTAGATTTATATTGAAAAATATTGTTATACCATTAGAGTTCAATGATAAATCCAGTAATTAAATATGCCATAAAATTAAAAAATAAAAAAGATTTTAAAAAATCAAAAGTATACCTTCATACATTACCAAATGTTATTCTCTTCATTTTTTATTTTTTTTCTTTTTTAATATAATGGAATAAATTTTAAACAAGACTTAATTTTCACAATTTTTACCTCTGATAAAGTCATCCATTCTGCAGTGATATAGTGATAGTAATTGTTATTTCGAGAATTATACTTTTGACATTATCAAAATTTTTATCAAATATTACTAAGAGGAATAAAATATTGCCAACTAAATTAATTTGCAATTTAAAATGTTTACTCTAACAAATGTTTGTAATCAGCCATTAACATTTCAGAAATATACAAATCTATTAGTAAATATTGAAAGTATTTGAATGAAATAAATAAAACTAATGAATCTTTTAATGAAATATATGAATTTAATGGAAATATTTGATTGTGGTAATTCATGAATTAATCTAATTAATCAGAAATTTTTTGCTGTCCTAAAAACTTCTTAAATTAATTGTCAAATGACTTAACGTATATATGTTTTCTCCAAAATATATGCTTTATTTTTCCCTCTAGAAATCAATAAAATTGAAAAGAAAAAAAATATTTTATAACAAAAAATTAACAAATGCACCTTTCTAATTTATAATTTACTTCTTTTGGCAATGTTTAAATTTTCCTTTACTCTTTTAATTTAATCTTTTTAATTTAGTCTTTTAGTTTAAACTTTTACCTTTTTGTATACAAATAAATACTCATTTAATAATTAAATTAATTAATTTTTTTTTTAGAATTTGTGGAATAATTATGGACAATTTGTCGAAGGTTGCAGCAATGCAACCATCAACATCATGGGCATATAATGCTGGTAAATTGGTACAGATAAATGGTCTTGAATATAATCGAGCTCGAACAATGGATGAATGTATAAAAGCACTCGAACGAAGTTCATTACCAACATTTCCGGATAGTAGTAAGAATTTAAAAATTAAAATTTTACATTTTATTTTAATTTTATACGATTATTGATTGATCGATTTATATTAGTTAGTTAGCTGATTAAATTTAATCAATTTTATTTAGCATTCCTATTTATAATTAATTAAATATTTGAATATAATTATAATTAAATATATAAAAAGATGATGGATCATTATGGTGTAATGCGACCTTCGATACAGTGCTGTGTTGGCCAGCAACACCAGCCAATAGCAGTATTACTGTACGATGTCCACCACTCAAAGGACTTGACCCCGGAAGTTTGTTTCTCTTGGCCTTTTCTTTTCTCTCTCTCTCTCTCTCTTTTTTCTTTTTGCATTGATATTAATTTGTAGTATTATGGAGAGTAAATAATTTCCATAGAATAATTCTAGAGAATATAACTAAATGGTGTCATAGTTCGGGTCGTTGGATGGGCCGAGCAGAAGGTGACTTCTCGCGTCCTCATGGCTGGACAAATTTTACAATGTGTTTTACTCGAGAAGTTGTTGAAATGATGACTAAACTCACTAATGGATCTCTTGTTGTAAAATTTTCGCTTTTTTTTTTTTAATTCAAAAGTAAAAAAAAAATCTATTATTGAGATAATAATAATAATCAATTTATCATGATCAGTTATTGATTGATAATTTATAGATAGCTCAAGAAGTAGCAAGGAATGCCCGTAAATTAGAATTTGTTGGTCTTGGCTTATCGCTCATTTCTTTGCTCATATCAATCGCTATTTTTTCTTACTTCAGGTTTCATCTCTTTCATCAATTTCAATAATTTCAAAAAAAAAAGAATGTGTTAACAGTTGTAAATATGTTAATTATTGTAATTATTCTTAAGGAAAGTTTTTTTTTTATTTGTTTTAATTCTTTAAATAATTAAATTTGCTGTATGTAATTAAGATTATTTCAGGAGATTGCGGGTATTTAGGAATTTATTACATTTACAATTAATGATTGCCATATTGATGGTTGTTATTATTCGCCTTATCCTCTACATTGATCTTATTTTTACTGATCGTCTTGGACCGCATAATTTGGACAGTAATGATGGAAAAACCATAAATACTATGGTATTCTTTCTAATTAATTTTATCATTAAAAAAATAGAAATGAAAAATTAAACGAAAAGAAAAAATTGATTTCCTATTTTCATGTATCCACGATTAACTATAATTTTCATCTCGTTTTACTCATTGAATATTAATTTTTTCTTTTTTTTTTTTCACCGAATATTAATTAATTTGTTAAATTTGTGAAAGAAATTTCACTTTTTTTTTTAAATAAAAGAAAATATCATTGAAATATCATTCATTATTCTTCATAATATCACCTAATAATCATGGTGATATGATTCTTATCAAAACTCTAATTTCAAAAGTACAATTTTGCACAGTTTAATTTTATTTTGATATTAATATCATTTATTAGTATCATTCAAAATTATCAATGAAATTTTGCAGGTATTTTTATGCGAAACGATGTTTTTTATGCTTGAATACTTCAAAACAGTCGCATTTTGTTGGATGTTTCTTGAAGGATTCTATTTGCATAATAAGCTTGTCTTTACGGTATTTGCATCCGAAGTACGCCTTAGACGTTATCTTATAACCGGATACGGTAAGATATTAATTAATCTAAGCCTATAATAAATGCACCTAAAGTGAAAACTTTTTTGTGTTATCTCCTAACTCTTTAAATAATACTGAAAATATAGATATATTATCATAAAATCTATCATTGCTTCTATAACATTATTTTTTGTACAGACACGTCTATTAATCATTCGTGAAGTGACAAAATTGATTTTATTTAAACATTATACGCATCCGATGTTTAATTCATAATTTAAAAAAAATAATTTAATTTTAAATGATTGAATTTAAAATTAAATTATTTCACTTCATTATTCAACAATTAACAAACACATATATCATTATTGTTTATTAATTAAGAATTTTAAAACCAGTAATATTTAGCATTTGATTAACATCTATTTAGTAATGTTTAAAGAAAAATTAAAATTTTAAAAACTTTTTTTTTTGATTAAAAATCTATTTAGTTGTTTGAGATTTAACAGGTTTTCCATTGGTACAAACATTTCTATGGTTAGCAGTAATACTAATGAAGAAACAAGGAAAAATGGATCGATGTCTTGGATCATATTACCTCGAACCAGAATTTTGGCTCTTAGATGGGCCAAGAATGTTTGAATTAGTTGTAAGTTATTTATAAATTACAGAATCGTTTTTAGATTATTTTTTTTTTAATTAGGAAAAAAAAACTTTTAATAAGAAATATCATAGATCAACATTATTTTATTTTTTTAAATTACTATCTTTTTTGAAAAAAAAAAAAAAAAATGCAATGAAATTATTTACAGATAAATTTATTTTTCATATGCAATGTAATTCGTGTTCTATGGACAAAAGTAAGTCAATCACACAATACAAGTGAATTGGATAGGATGAAGTGAGTCATTCACTTTGATCTATTCACTAATTTCAGTAATAATTCAAATTTTAAAAGAACAAATTTTAACTACCTTCTAGAAAAAAAAAAAAAATGGCATAGAAGATATTTTGTGGCATTATTTCATAGAAAAATTTGAAAAAAAAAAAAAAAAAGATCAATCGAATAACTTTCAATTCTTATTATTTTCTTTAAAAAATTAGTAATCAGTGTAATTAATATTTAATTTAATTCGAAGGAAAAAAAAAAGCAATGAATTTCTTTTTTCGTCTCATATTGAATTCTTAAAATTTAAATTATTATTCATTTGATATTTAGGAAAAGTGTGAAAGCAGCATTGATGCTAATTCCATTATTAGGTATACCAAATATTATGCAAACTATACCCTTCTCTCCAACGAAGGATAATATTGTTGTAAGTTGATGATGATAATCTTGATAATCATAACTTTTATCGATTAAGGATGTTAAGGTTAAGAATGTGATAAGAAGTGACTCAAAATTTTTTTATTGCTAAATAGTTAAGCATTTAATAAAAAGATGACGAGAATTAAAATTATTATTTAATATTCACTTCGAATTGAAAATTTAAAATTGTTTTTTTTTTTTTTTTTGAAAAGGAAAAGCGCAAAAATTGAAATTCAAAGAATAATTAGATGCAAAAATAAAAAGCTTTAGCTAATATTTATGTATCTTTGGTTAATTATTATGATACAGTAATATTTATATAAAGATTTATTAGTTTTATTGGTAATGAATTTATGCTTAATTATGTAAGATGCATCTTTTCAACATATTTAAATAATAAAATAACAAATATTTTTCATTTCAGTACTTTGCAATTTGGACATATTGCGCATCATTCACTTATATGTATCAGGGTTTTATGATTTCAATCATCTATTGTTTTACTAACAAAGAGGTTAACTTTGAATTTGAAATTATATTAAGCATGAATTTGTTAGTGTCCTCTTTTAACGCTACTTTTTAAGACATTTTTTATAAAATTTCATTTTCTTAGATTGATAAAACTTTCAGCTAAATTATATCATCTCTATTCTTCTTATCATTAATAAAAGATTGATCATTTGCAATTACATTTAAATCTAATTAGTAGTCATTGCTCAAAATAAAAAAAAAAAGTGAAAGCAAATATTTTATCGAAATGTTTTTTTTTTTTTACATAATTTATTCTATTTCAGGTTCGAAATGTATTAAAGACCCATTACGGTAGACTTAAATTACAGCATACAAGTACCATAAATTTACGTCATGGTAGCAGATCAAATGTTCTGCGAAATGGAACATCGAGTGGTGCATGGTTGAATAAGTCTGAAAATGATAAATTATTAAGGATACAAAAATGTTCGATTAAAAATGGAGCTGAAGGACATAATCCAACTGGTTCAGCTTTAATCTCTATGACTCAGGTAGATATTTTATTATAAATTTCAGCTCAAATTTTTTTATTAATTAAAAATAGCTCATTTTATGCATAAATACCTATAAGAATAACATTATTATCTTCTTTTTTTCTCGTTCTCTCTCAATTTTTGATTAATTTTGCAATATGATATCACTGATTTTTTTTTTTTTTTTTTTTTTAATTGATAGATCTATTTTTGATAAAAATATCAAAAATCAAGCAAATAAACGAAAGCTAACTTAATGAAATTTAGCGGAACTTAACAGATACTTATACATTCAATAATTAAGATATAGAACAAAATATGTTTTCAAGTAGAAATTAAGATATCATATTTTCATTATTTATTAACTATTATTCATTACTATCATTATTATCAACTATTATTTATTATCATCATTATCATTTTATCATTCTTATTGTCTATTTCAGTCTGAAATGTATTTAAACTTGGACGAAAACGATGGTAGTATTAGTAATAGAGAAGCATTGCCAAATATAAAACAAACAAAGAAACGAAAAGACGGAAAGCGACAATCTCTAATGTTTCAATGTTCTGAAAGTATAACAGGTGCATATATTCCAATTGAAAATGATAACTCAAAAGCGATTAGAATAAATGATTAGCTGATAATTATCAATCAAGCAAGATTAATTTCTAGACATACTTTCTTAATCCTCCCATAATTTCAATTTTCTAATTTTTTTACAAAAAAAAAAATTTTGCATTTTAAAAATTTTTATTCCAAATTTCATATAACTTTTACAGAACTAATTTTCAATTTGATATCTTTTTAAAAAAATCTGAAAAAAAAGTTACTGTGAATTAACAATTAAAATGATTTGGTCTGTCTCATAAATATTATATTTTAGGATTTACAGATTGAACTGATAAGAAATCATTGACCATTATCAGCAATTCATGAAAATGGTGAAGAAACAATCAGCTTGTAATGTTCTGCTTATCATCTTCCTCCTTCTAGATTTTGATCAATCACGAATTCTGGAATTGATTAAATAAGAGCAATTGATATTCAGGAAAATGTATTTCATATGCATGTGTGTGTGCGTGTGCTTGCGTGTGCGTGCGTGTACGTGCGCGTGATAAAACCATCTTTTAGACGCTTTTATTAATTATTAAAATGAGAAAAGAGTAATGTTATTGTATGACGACAATTACAATATCACCTGGCAAATGTCGCATCATTCAGAGAATATTTAATTTTGAATCTTGAAACAAACTTATGGTTAGTATTTGATAGCATTTACTATTTTGATAACATTTACATATTGATTGATCAATAATCTTTTGGACAGGTAAATGTGTATGAATTGTTTTTAGGTCAAAAGTTAAGTGACAACGAAGTTTTTTTTGTCACTTTATTTTTGTGTTATTGCTTGTATTATTATTGTATTATAATAATTTATAAAATATATAAACATTCTGTAAATTAGACTGAAATAAAGGAATGAAATGCAATACTAAAATAAACTTATCATTTCATTTCTATCATTGCTTGAATCCAAAATACTACTATCTGAGTTTAGCATAATATTTTAAGTAATATTTTTTGGTCATTGATAGTGCCATTAGAATGATAACAAAAGATATAGCACAGAGAATAAATGATTGTTATAATCATTTGATAACTCAGAGATAATACTTGTTGAAAAGTTGAATCAATAGCTATTATTAATGAAAGATTAATTTTATTAGTATTTTAGATATTTGTGTATAATCATTGATTTTAACTATACTTTCTGATCTCTCTCTCTCTCTCTCTCTTTATCTCGGATAGAGTGTCACAATTATTGTCGATTAACCTCATATAAACTCTTGATAAATGGATAATGTTGACATAGTCATTATCATCAATGCCATTAAACTGCTTATTCGATTTGGAAAATTTTTTAATTCAGTGATTGAAATTTCAAATTTTTTTTTGTTGAAGCTGATAAAAGTACACCTTTAATTAGTTTTATCTAACAAATTTTGGAATTTTTTAATATTGATAATATAACGAGTTTGAAATTTAAATGCTATTTCATACGGTCTTTCTTTTATTTTATTTCACCCTGCAAAATGATATTTGTTATCCATTTCCAATTCATACTTTCTACATTTTTAATTTAAAAAAGCCAACAAAACCTATTATTATCTGAATTCTTTCAATCACGCTACAGCTATTTCGATTCAATGAAATTTTTTCTTTTTTTTTTTTTTTTAAAGCTTTTCTCTTTTGAAATTAAAATCGAAGTAAACTATTAAAGCATTATTGTTGCTTTATATCTGAAAAATGTTTGGTAGAAATCAATTAATTAACTAATTAATCAATCAAATACTAGAATTTTAATGATTGTTAGCAATGATTTATGAATTTTGTAAATGTTGAAATGTTGCTGGCATAGCTAATTACAGCTTTTTTTTAATTACAATTTTCTGGAAGATTGTTGGCATATTTGCGCTCACTGTGATTTGCTAATCTTTCTAATTACCTTCTGATAATTCGAGAGAATTCTTCAATGAATGAGTCATGCTACTAGTTTTTATAATTAATTACCAATTTTCATTGCAATTCTATGTTTCTTTTTTTTTACAACAATTGACAAAAAAAAAAAAAAAAGAAAACTGGAATGATAAATATGATTTATTGACTGATTAGAGAAGATATTTTCTTATTATCATTGATTTGCTTATAATTAAAACAAATTTTAAACTCATTTTTCAATTTCAATGCAATTATAATTTGAATGGAAAAAGTAGTGTTTCATTCACACTTTTGTTAATAAATTCATATCTTATCCAAATAAACGATATAAAATATTAGAATGAGTTATGTAGCTCGTTTTCTCTCTTATCATATTATCATATCTATTATTTCCATTTTATATTTTAGTATTGCCACAGAAAGAAATGAATTATTTTCTTTTTTTTCATATTTTAATCAATGAATAATTAAAGAAATGTTAAAAACGAAAACATTTAACAAATATTTTATCAGATACATCAAATATAATTCAAATGATCACATATTTATCACGAGTATTAATCAAAGTTAATGAAACAATAATTTTGATATGAAAGACGAATAGTTTATTTAGATAAACAATGATATTTAATGCATTATTTATAATTTTTTTTTTTTTTTAAATTTTGATTAAAATCAAACAAATTGAATTTCTCATTTGCAACTATGAAACATTAAATTTTAAGTGAAAATGAATTGTTTTAATTGTCTTATTTTCACCTATTTTTTGTATCACAAAAAAAAAAGAAAAAAAGAAATCAATGTGAAATTAAATATATGCAATGAAAAAAGTTAAGAAATAAGTTAACTAAAAAGTTGAAATAGAAAGTGTTATTATTGTGTTAGCAATAAGCAAAAGCGCAGATGTTAGGCGGTAAATTAATATATATGATTAATTACACATAGAAGATATGCACAAACAATTAAATTTAAATATTGACACAACTGTTAGATGTCACAAAAGAATGTATGGAAAGATGGATGAGAGGGAGAGAGAGAGAGAGAGAGAAAGAAACGATAACTTTTATAATGGTTTCATTTTTTTTTGTACTATTCATTCCATCATAATATTCTTTTTCCTTTTCATCTATCGCACTCTTAAGATATATATTATATTATTAGCGCAAATGTCGCAAAGTAATACTTTAAGGGCGCACCGAATTTTCAAGAATGATTGCTATTGAAATTAATGATTGAATGAGTTACGATAGAATTATTGTGGTGGAATGATGATACTTTATATATAAAAGAGAATGAAACAGATGTTGGTATTGAACTTGTTGATTGAATTATAAGCGTTAGCCTTGTCTTGATCAATTTTTAATAGTTAATCATAATTTAAAAAATAAGAAAATTGGAGAAAAAGATGTAATGAGGATGAGAAAATGGCGAAATTCTTCCAGTTCATCTTAAAATAATAAAAAATAAATAAAATTTTATTAGATAATTTAGCAGTAATATTGAAGACATTTTAAATTTACTATAGAATTGAGAAATGTAATAATTGTCAGAGAATGAATTTAAAATATGACAGAAGAAGAGGAAAATCATATGCTAGTGTTAAAGATTAATTTTAATAGATGAGTCTTAATATTTCCTAACAAATAGTTAGATTTAATTTACTTCTATCTAAATCAATCAATTATAATCATATGAAACAATTAGTTATCGCTATTGATAGTACTCATATTGGTTATTTGATTTTTTTTTTTTTTTTTTGTTAATTATTTCAGATACTCCAAATAAATGGATCTCTTTTTTCTTGGAACCCATAATTTAAATAATTAAATTAAAAACTAATTGCAAAATTAAACAAAATATTTAGAATAAAATATTAAACCATTAGCTCTTTCTTTTTTCTATTCTTTCTAATTACATTACTAGTCTTAATTCATTTAATTAATTTGTGAATAGAGCAAAGGCTAAAACTACTTTTTCTTCAAATTTGAAAACGAGAAGTAAAAAAAAAAAATTGAAATTATTAATTTGGTGATACTTTTTAACTGTTCCTAAATGCATATCAACATATTTATTAAAAATATCCATAAAATATTTGAATAACTTATACATTGTCATGTAATTGATGATTTTGAAATGAACATATGAAATACATTGTACTTAATAGAGCATAATAATTAGCTAATAATTATTAATAATAATTAATTAAGCCATGATTAGCTCAATTCACCGATTTTTAGGCGCCGAAAGTTATTTTGGCACAAAATCTTGTCTTTTTCATACGTAATTTTGTATATATCTGTGAAATTTATACATCTTCAAATACTACTTTTTAATAGTTAAAAAGTTATCAAAATAGCTAAAAAAGCTATTTTTAATCATTTATAGCTGAGAAATTTTGAATTATTTTCATACATTTTGTATATAAATTAGTGAAATTATTTGGAAAGTAAAGGATGAGATTTTCAAATGATTCTAGAATGTATGTGCTAATTAAAAAAAAATCTAAAAATGAATCCATATGTAATGTTTAATCTAAATAATTTGTGTTCTCTTTTATTACAAATACTTTTGAAAGCATTTATTTCATTTATCATTTGGGTATAGTAATAGCATTTCTAAATTCGATTTTATTAATTTGAATAATTAATTAATTTGAAGATGAAATCAAATACTAAATCGTTTAATATGAACTTATTACAGAGTAAAATCATTGGAAACTTACTTGAAAATTGTTCCTTCATCATCAAACATTTTAAAAGCTTTACTTCTCAAAATTTACTAATTTAATTATTAATCATTACTTATCCACATATATTTTTCACCATTCATTGTAAAACTTGTAAAACTAGTTACTCTTTCTGCATTTATCTGTGAATTTCTAATTATTCGTTTAAATTTTTCTAAAAATTTTCCTCTAAAATTTCAGTCCACTAAATCTAGTTAAACTTATATTTCCTATGTTAAACATCTACATATCATCCTTTCTTAAATTTGTTGCTTTAAAAACAAAAAAATAAAAAAATAAAAACAAAACTTTCAGATATTTTCTTTTTTTTGCATGAAATCATCTCTAAAAAAAATGAAAACAAATTTTAAGATTTTATTCTTTAAAATTGCCGTCTCATAAATATCATTTTTCTTTTCTTTTTGCTGCCACAAATATATTACTGACTATACAGCAAAAAATCATAAATCAATAATTAATTAAATTTCATTTATTACATTACCTTCATCTATCTCTCAAATACTTAAATGATAGTGAAAATTTGAATCTTTCTTCCTTAAACATTTTAAGTATTATTTCATTTAAGAATCTATTCTTTTGTAACTTTTTTCTAGTTAAAATAAGTGTTGTGTAAATAATAAAAAGTAATAGTTGAAATAATTGTAATACTAGTAAGTAAGTAATAGTTATTAATAGTAATACTAGTACTAGTATCTAGTAGTAGCAGTAATAGTAGTAAGTAGTATTATAGTAGTAATACTCTTAACTTTTTCTCGACAACTGGAATTGTAATATGTATGTTTAGCTTTAGTGTTGTTCTAATGATGTAAAAATATTTTTTGAAATGTGTACATTTCCTCTTAACAATTCAGTCTTTCGTTCCTTTTTTTTTTTCATTAGTATGAGTTGAATTTAAATTGTAAAAATTTAACTTAACAGCAATCATTCCACCTTTTCACGGTTTGCATTGAATTCCAGCTCATCTTAGAAAGCTTTTCTTTCATAAAACTAAATTCTCATACTTTCACTTTTTTTTTATTTTTATCTTTGTTTTTTTTTTTTTTTTTTTTTTTTTTTTGTTTTTTGTCTTTTTTTTTGAACTTATATACATCATAGAGAGTAAAAAGAAATAAATGATTGATGCTTTGCGCTATTTTATTTGGGTGTTTTTTTTTTTTTTTTTTTTTTTTGCTAATCTGTTACGCTTGTTTAGCAATAACGCCATTTCATTTTTCAATTTCGTTCCTACTAATCTGACGATAGGTCTTTACTTCTTTCTACCTTGTCATTCTTTCAAATAAGACTATCCAACAAAAAAAAAAAAAAAAAAGAAACATAAAATAAGCTTTTTTGTTTCTATTATGAAATTAATTTTAATTCACATTCAACTGCTTCGCTTCATCAAAATCTTCAAGTAATATGCATCATATTTCTCCTTTCAATGTTATATTCAATTAATGGCGCTCGCAAATGAATCAAAAGCAAAATGACTATTTCTAGCATTTCAAATGAATTTTACAGGAAGAATCAAAAGAATTAAAAATTATTATCCCTCAAATAGCAACGAAACAACAGTTAGTAAAGTAATTTTTATCGTTATCAGGTAATTAATTTTTTTCCTACAAATATTTAATTGGACAAATTTAACGATGAATGAAAGCAATGATTTTATATTTGCATTTTTCATCCAAATATTATACTTCGAAGTTCCAAATTTTCACCTGATGTTATTAAATCTATCAAACACAATAACTGAAATTAAAGATATATTGTAAAAGTTTCTTGAAATTATATTTATCACATGATCATTCAATCTATACCGATACTTTCGAAATCAGATATGCATTGCTAACATATCTAATTTCATCAAAGATAATATTATCGGTTGTTTGAAATAACAAAATTGTTCAGTTCATTCCATGCTAAATGATTTCCTTAATTCACTGAAATATTTCTCAGTGACAGCAAAAATTCTCCCTAAAAGTTCTAATGAATGGCTATAATGTAATTTCACTTTTTCATACTCATTAGATAATAATTAGGAATGTTAATTTTGATAGATGAATGATTCAGTCTACAGAAATCGAAATTTTTGCTTTCAAGAATCATATGTAGTGTTATGCTAATCCATTTCGTGAATAAAATGATTTTTATTCCTGTCACAGTATAATAAAGTTTTATAATTTCTTTTTGAATACAATTTGGAATTTAAGTATCATACTCAATAAAATTATACATCTTTAGCACATATATTTTATTTAACAAATGACTCTTTATTTTCTATGAATATAAATAATTTAAATCGAAAGCCTAATAAGATGATCCTAATTCAATAAAAATATTAAAAAAATAAAATTAAATTAAATTTTGCCACGAAAATTTTTAAAAATTTGCATATCAATTGCCCACAATAGTATTTATTTGGGAATGAATTTAAATTATAGTTAATAATCATATCTGTTCATTACCACAATAATTTAAATTATTTTTTCAAATGGTGAAAATGAATAGTTATTTAAAAGAAATACTCGTATTATTATTCCACTTCCACTTATGAACCGAAATAAATTATCATTTAACATGCTAGCCTTAGATGCTGTATTATTATTATTATTATTATTTTTAAGTCGTGGAAATGTATCTTGAAATGATTTTTCATTGCAATAGTCCGTATCACATCCGCATAAATAGCTTTCACCTTTACCACCTAATAAATCATTATGCACTCTGCATTCGCTAGCCTAAATTGAATTATTCTGCTTGTTTTAGGTTATTAAAGTATAATGCAGAAGGGTTTTAGATGAGCTCACTTTATCTTCTGATTCATCCTCTGATGAAGCTAAAATTTGATATTTTTAATGGTTAAAAGTGATATTTTTAAAGTGATCAAATGATTTTCCTCGCTTTACTTATCAACGGATGCATCATAATGCTCTTGTTAAGAGTAATAAATGTTGTTTTTTTTTTTTTTTTTTCATTTTATATAAATTGTAATTTGTGCCTATCCATTTAAAAATTATATAATTTTAACCTTCTAAATGACATTCCTTCCTTTCTACAAGCTAAATAATTTCAATTCAACTACAAATTAATTTTCATCCAATTTTAATTCTAAGAAAAAATCTTTACAAAAAATAATACCAAACATGCTTCCATGATATTTTCCCATGGTTTTCCAGTAAGTGATGGAACATAAATTAACATATCATCCTGTATATCATCTGCATCACAACCTTTTATTTGGAATATGTGACGATTGTCTAAAATTACCACATTGTAATCTTTTATCATCAATATACACTAGCTTTAAAGAGATGTAAACGTAATGATATGATTAATCTACATTTTTACATTTCATTTTATGCTATTATAAAATTATAGCTGAAAGGAATTTTCTTTTGTTTAAAAAATTTTCGCAATATTTACATATTTAAATTAAAATATTTCTTTCAATTCAAAATATGAGGATTATCTAAAAGATAAAATGTGATCAGATAAATTAAAAGATTATAATTTAGCATTTTACGATGTAATTCAGCTGTAAAACAGCAAGAGCTTGATTCACAATCCTCTGTTTCATTGATCTTTGATGCTGATTTTCCTCGACGAAAATAAATTTGACATCTTATGGCGTTTGTTGCAGATATAACAAATGCAAAAATAATAAAAGCTGCAATTTAATAAAAATACAATTAAGATATTTTTATGGATTTGTTTTCTCTTTTTTTTTTTTTTTTGATTTCTTAAATTATCGAAATTGAATTTTGCAATTTGTTGGCTTTTCTATTGAAATTTTCATTTACCAAAGATTGCAAATATTCTTTTATTATAAAAAATACTACCAGCGTGCATTGCGTCAACCATTTTGTTTGTTTATAAATAGCACAAATGATAGTTAATTTGAATATATTTTATTATTTGTATAGTTTGATTGATTTAGTTATATTTTCTTTTGAATCTTTTTTATTTTTTTCACACTTCTAATAACTCTTTTGAAATATAATAGTGAAGAGAGTTGGTTGAAGCATGTGAAGATACAATCCTATGATATACAAATATTGAAAACAAAACAAAAAGAGGAAAAAACAGAAAAAAAAAGACTTGAACTGAACACTCTGACAATATACTTCAGTTATTACAAGTGAGAAACGAATGAATAGGTCGATAAATCGAGAAAATATCATAAAGTTTTAAAATGATAGTTAATTTAAACACAAAAAAAACACAAATCCAAATTTAAATACAAATTGAAATATATATAAAACATAAATATCATTCCTAATATGCTAACTGTTTGTAATTAATTCATTTAGTATTTTCAGTCTCTCAAAAGAAAACCTCATCAAACGATATTCAACAATATGAAGCAGTGCATTAATTAATTAACTAATTAATTAATTAAATATCGATTGGCACCTAAAATTAATTCAGAATAAAAAACTAACCGACAAATAAATTGAAATATACGATTATAAATACATCATTCCTAATATGCTAACTCCTCTAATTTTCACGGGCCGCGCACCTATGCACTTTTGAACTTTTTTTTTTTTTGGTATGATAACCGGAATTAGTTTTCCGGTACTTAACCTAAAAATGTTTAATCACGTAACCTAGAAAGACTAACTTACGTAGAATATACGTAGTTAGTGGGAAAGGAATGAAAAAAATTGTTAACAAATGATTAGTTGGAAATAGACAAATGAGATTGAAAGGATTGTAGCAGTGAGCGATTAATTCGCTCTTAAACTGTCATTATTTTATATTTAGCATATTTCATATATCAAATTTCAAAGTAATGCTATCTCTCGGATAGAAAAAAAAGAGATAATGAAAATAACCTCTAGCTAGAAAGACAGAAAATTAAATATGAATTGAAGTATCTCAAAAATGAATTAATTGTTTGCTTAACATATAGTTAGTTTTAATTTAATGAACATGCATTCCTCTACCTTATTATTATTTGTTTCCTATTCCTAATGTTAAGATGATATTTTTGAGATCTGTGAAATGTGATATTTTGTATCGTGATCTTTTGCTTTTTCATTATCCTTCTCTTTTTCTCATCTTTCATTTCTTTTCACTTTTTCATACATTTTGAAGTAAATCATTATAAAATTTCAGGACAATTCTTGGATTATCTTCGTCATTCCAGTATCCTTTGACAATATTCAGTTATGTTCATTCAGGATTAAAATCACTTGTATGATGAGTTGTTCGATATCATCAGCAGCGTCTTCCTACGGTGAACAACAGCCTATAAGATCTATTGCCTCAGACGGTACTTTAGTTTCCATTTTATTTCTGATTTTTTTTTATTTGAATAGTGTATTTTCATAAGGTTGTTTGAAATCCAGTATAAAAAGGACAGGAAGAAATTATTAGGTAATTGATAGGAAGAGTTTTTTTTTTTTTTTTTTTGCTCGTGTAATCACGTTTTTTATAGAAGAGAAAGATAACGACATATGCAGTCTCAGTTGCCTTGTTACAAACTGCCTTTGTACAACCAGGTAGTTAAATTTTCCATCTACATAACGCTATTTCATTGTTTAGTTTAATTTTTTTCATGTAAACTTTTTTTTTTTTTCGTTTTTACAGTTGTACTACTGGCGAATCCTCGCCGCCAGCCTTGAAACCTTTTCTCCGTCCTAGTTTATTTTCTAATGTGCCTCCGACAATACGATTTTATAGCAAGGAATCAAAAGGTTTGTTTTCAATACTAATATCAATTGTTCTTGAATTGACAGAACAAATTTAGTTTCAATTTTCGCCAGGATCTACATTCGTCAGAGTTGTTTTAACTAGCGTTTTAAAAAAGAAAGTTTATGAAAAAAGAACTTCGAAGATTGTATTGTGAGATTTCAAGTTATAAGTTTTAAAGTCTTGGTTTAGCTGAAATAATTACTGGTTGCAGTTACAAAACCGAGCAAAGCGATTCGTTCAACACTAATGTGGTGTAAAAATAGTCTTTTACCTATTGTTATGCGACAAAGCCTTGCTGCAAGTCATTTTACAATAGTTGATGAATCGAACTTTTGGATTGGTTACTGGGGACGACACTTAAAATCGACTCAGTACCGAGCAATTAAGCCATATCAGAAGGTGTCATTTCTTTGTGTTTGTGCTAGATAAGTAGTAAGACTTTATTGTTTTTTTGTAATTAATCCAGCATTTTAAATTATTATTATTACTAACGTTTTCCAATTTCATGCTAGCTACTTAACTTTTCTGATTAGGATTTTTTTAAGTTCAAGTTTTTGCCATAATCTAACTAAATCAGTATTGCTAATAGGTTAATCATTTTCCTGGTGCATTTCACATGGGACGAAAGGATCGTCTTTGGCAACACATAAATGAAATGATTGCTCTGTGGGGTTTGGATGAATATCACATTATGCCAACAACTTATGTTCTACCACGGGATGTAAAGAAATTGAAGGCTTACCTTAACAGTAATACTCCTCATATCGTCATACTTAAACCGGTATACTGTTTTGAGTTTTGCATTCTGTAAACAAAACATCCAGTAGTGACTGTGTTTTTGCTGTATGAAATGATCTCGATACTTTTGCATTGTAGTTATTTATGTAATAAAATTTTCTTGCTTTATTAATCAGCGTAAAAAGTTACGCATTTGGTAATCAGAAATCAAAAAATGAATTTAAAGTTGTTCTTAATGCTTTAAAATTATTTGTTATAGCCTGCATCTGCTCGAGGCACAGGCATCAGTATTGCTAGCAAAATTAAACAAATTCCAAAAAAAACACCACTTGTTGCTCAGCAGTAAGTTTTCATCTTGCAGATTTTTCTGTGGAACTTATGTTTATTAAAAACCTATTTAATTTCTTAAAAGTATAATTATAATTTTTAGTTATATTCATCGGCCGTTAATTATTAATTCAGCAAAATTTGATTTACGTTTATACGTTTATGTGACAAATCTTGATCCATTACGTATATACTTATACAATGATGGCCTTGTTCGATTCGCAAGTATCCCGTAATTTTCTTTTCTTTTTGTGTAGCTTTATGAAATTTTCAATTTTTTCTGTTGAACCAAAGAGAAAATACAAAGGGAACAATTTTTTGACTCTTTTTTTTTTTTTGAATTTTGAAAAATTAAGATTGCTACAAGTTACATATCTGCAAAGATAGATTAATATATTTGCAGTTATTCTTCTGCACTTAGCTCGATGTCAAACAAATTTATGCATTTGACGAACTATAGTATCAATAAGTTGGCACAGTCAGCAGGCGAACGTACGACGCCTGTGCCGAAATGGAAATTATCGGATTTTTGGACACATATAGCTGAACATATAGATGTAGATGTTGTTAAACCAAGGATTAAGGATATTATTATCAAAGCTGTCCTTGCGTAATTTTTTCTGATATCTCTTGGTCTTAGCTTAGATCGAAAAGAACTTGTATTATTTGGTCTTTTGTTTGGCAAGTAAATTTTTTAATTAGGCTTAATTTTTTATTAAAAAGTACTATATATTTTAAGTTATTAAAAATAATCTTATTTTAGTTGTGAAAATCACATTCGGATACATCAAAAAAAACACAGTTTGTATACTTTCACAAGCCATGAGCTTTATGGAATGGATATTTTACTTGATGACACTCTCAGGCCTTGGTTATTAGAGGTAGCATATTTTTACACTTTTATCAAAAAAATTCTTTGACTAAAATCAGTTCAGAATTTCGAAATGGAAGCATTCATTTGAAGTTGATTTTTAAATATATCAAAAGAAATACAATAGCTAAGTTTCGACCTAATAATTTTTAGGTAAATATTTCACCCTCATTGCACTGCGCAACACCTACAGATATAGCCGTCAAAACAACGCTTGCAAAGGACGTACTGAATCTTTGTGGTATCCAGATTCCACCGGATGTGATGTGAGTACGCTTTTAAGTTCTATTTTTGGAAATCTTATGTATGAAAATAGTATGAAGTGCTTATTCATTGCTTAATGTTTAAAAGAAAAAAAAAAATGTTGCAAATTCTATGAATATTTCAGGGATAGAAGTAATACGTTATCTATGGATTATCGCATAAAATCATTTGACGGTAATAAAAGCAATGAAGATTTAAAGAAGGAGCGACATCATATTGAATATTTTAAGAGAAATAGAGTGAGAGATATATTTGTTTTATTGCAGTAATACATCCTTGATCTGTGGGTAGATTAATAATATGTGACAGTTTATTTCTTATTCTAACAAAAATCATGAGATTTTTGACTATACTTCGGTTCTTTTTACAAATTCTCAATTTTTAAAGTTTATTGAAACTGTGGATTTTTATAATCCTTCTAAAAAAAGTTATAGAAAATTGATCGAAGGATACTGGATGAACTGACAGGTTGTGACGCACGAATTTTGATTGAATTTGAAGACGAATTAGATCGTTCCGGTAATTTCGACCTCATATTTCCCACCGCTGAGACGATTGATTACGTCAAGTACTATAATAGTCCGTTGACCTACTCAAATTTGTTGTTGGCGCAATGGCAAGTGGAGCAAGAGGCACGTGGGCGTGAAATTGGCATAGGTATTTTGGAAGATATTTCGAGTAAAAGTGAACATCTGGCTGATACAGACATTTTTGAAAATGCGAACTGAGCGGTTATTTCAAATTTAAAAATTTTGTATTTCAACCCAAAATTTGATTTTATTTTGCCAGCTATGGTTCTGAAGGGTTAAATAATAGCATGTTGCGCATTAGTGTAACAGAAATTTCTTTTAGTGTGGTCTGACCGTGAACATGCTTATCAAGCTTATTTCACGATATAGTACAACCTTTTACTACGTCAGTCCATCTAATATTCCTCTTATACAGGTTATACAGGTTGTTGTGTTCAGGCTTTTCATATTGCTCATATTATATTGAAGCTGATCTGACTTATTATATAAATTTTATGCCTCATGCTTTTGTTTGGTAACATTTTCGAATGTCTTCTTCTCTGCCAGAGTATCGTGTGACATCTATGCCACAAAATTTTCTAACTACTTACCTTTTAGTGTTTGCCTTATAGTATATGTTTCAAAGTATAGTGCATCATTTCTTTTTTTAAAATGCTATCAAGTTCCAAAATACTGGAATGAAAAATTTTTCCTTATTCTTAAAGAAGGTTAGAGTATTCAGTAATGAAGTTGCCACACTAAAGAAGAATTATTTCTAATAAAATAAAGTTTCCGCCATTATAATTGATAAAATCTAAGAAGTGCAAGACATTTATATATTTATTTGTAAAACTGTAACTGTTTTCACATTTAATCAGTCTTTAAAACTAAAGTGTGGCAACTATTTCATGTTACAGTTATATTCTGAATCCATATTACTTAGGAATTATTTCGACAAGAGCATATTTTGCAAACTATAGTGTTTTTATTTTCATCACTGGAAAAATTAAAGCTATCTGCGATTGTCGAAGAGAATCCTATATCTAATATCATAGCATATTAAAATTTAAACTTGATAAGAAACCTTCATATTTATTTATTTTGCATGGCAGAATTGTTAGTTGTATTCTTGAACTCGTAAACTTCTTAATAACCTTTAGCCATTTAGATTTCGGCTGGAATTCTTTACATATGTGTTCTCATTTCAAGCCTTTATTTCCACACACTCTGTTATCATTTGATCGGTTTATATTTTGGTGAAATTTCAATTTTGGTGATAGTTTGATCTGTTTTAAGATAAAGAATTGTGTCAAATATTCTGTATTGCTACTCTCTTATGTTTCCTTAACCATTTGTATTTTGAAGATGCATACTACATTACTTATGTTTTGGATGAGCTGATGATATTGTGCGCCTTTCATTGCATTATCTGTTTCACTAACTTATCACTCTTTTTCATATAGTCAAATTCCACTTTAATTCGAGTTTCAACAACATTTCGCTTTGTAAATTGTTATTTTGCTTATTTTTGACACATTTTCTGAATATAATAAATATTCATTTTAATGGAGTGCCTTTTTGAAATGTTACATTAAAATATATGACCTTGGATTCGATAAATTCTAACTGGTTTCTAAACCAGCGAATGAGTGATTTAGAAGGGAAGTTTAAATTATAAATACTTGATTCATGCTAAGAAGTTTTTACAACACTTTAACTAATTGTAACCAAATATTTCAGATCACATTTGGTTCTTCCTCTTCTTCCTCTCGTGAAGATCTAACTGATATGTCTCGGGTGACATTTGACGACTTTCATACTTCAGAAAGTGATACTTAAAGGTAGCTGACTGCTTGATAAGTTGTAACATCTGAATAGTAATCTCAGCAACTTGTGGGAAAACATCTAACCAATACCAGTCAGGAAAGTCACACATAAATATAATAAACTTTAAACTGATGTTCTAAAATTAGAAACACTACTTCATTTTTAATCTTAAACACAGAAAGAAACAAAGGCAAAATATCAAAAATTGAAACTATAGTATAATCTTTTTTGCTGTTTGGTACAACTCAACAAAGATAAAATTTGAAGGATTTCGTGTGATTCACATCTTTTTCTGAGCTCCCAATAATTAATTGAATTCTCTCCAACCGCTGTTTCATTTCTATTACAAAGAAGTGATTTAACTGTACTTTCAATCGTTTAGTTATTTCTCATACTTTAATAATTCCACTGTAATCAAATGAAAATTTGGTCAAGTGGCTTTACTTTGAAACTAACCTAAATGATTCTTAAAATGCTAACATAACATTCAAATGATATATAACAAGGCTCAATGATGTGACATAAAATTAATGAGAAGGAAAAACCACAAAGTATTAAGTAAGTTTTGGAAGAATGATTTGAACAATATCAAAAGCCATTTTTAAATGCAATCACTATTTCAGCCTTTAGATTTTTTTTTTTTTTAATCTTTAAATACATATTATAACTCAATATTTGCCTCCATTCTCTGTTCATACTTTGTAAGATAACTGTACGATAAATAATCCTGAGAAATTACTCTAATTATTTCTCAAAAAGCTCTCTATGTAAATGTAAGTTAAAGTATTCAATCATACTTTTATTTCTTTCCTTTTGGAAAATAAAACATAACAATGTAACAATAATAGAAATGCTTAAATGACTGTACGCAAATTTAATCTACACAGAAAGGCACATTAAGTATATTTCTTTCAGTACAACCAATTTTATAATGTGTCAAAATAATTTTGCATTAAATTCATAAAATAGGAATACGTAGACTAAAAATGTCTTATATGAATATTTTTTACAAAAATATAAAACTATTTCAGTTTTATATTTCAGGTGAGAAATTATTTATTCAACATCTCCAATCGTATTAAGTTTATGTGTATTGTCTAGAATGTTATACTTTATTAAATATCAACTTTTAGCTTCATCAGAAGATAAAGTGAGCTCATCTAAAATTACTCCGAATATAAGTTTGATTGCCCAATCAGACAACTCAAATCCCTGCTTAGGAAGTTATAAGTTATTCAATTAGCTCTTAATTAGCTTTTTTTTTTTATTATAAACCAATCTTATTTGCAGTGTCGGAATATTACACAGCCTTTCCAATATGACAATCACTCTTACAAGCAATTCACATAATATTATAAACCCGCCATATAGGATAAAAATCATTTAAGAATGACTTGAATCACTATAATCATCCATTTTGCTGTAAGCTAATGTCCACTACATAAAAAGTCAAAATCACTATCGAGCATCAATTTTTAGTAACAATAATTTCAAAAGCTTCAAGTTATACTCCCTCCACATTCCATCAATTTTTATTTAACGACAATCTGCAAACAATCTCAAACAAATTAATATTATATTCTAAGAGTCGTTTTATCCAGACTTTACGTCAACCAATCACGATAGAGACTTCATTATTAATTAAATAAAAACTAATATTTCTCTGTATGCCTTTTTTAAATTAATCGTCAAGCCTAACATACCGTCAAAAGAAAACTTCAAAATAATGACCCAAAATTTCCTACGTTATACTACTTCATCATTCGAATTTCAGACCAGATATAACAATCACTGACAGTACAGGTCAGAAAAGATATGCAACAATTTTTAAATACTGGTCGGAATCATTTTCAAGTCAATTTTCATACCCAATTCCTTTCAAAGACTCTTATGGAATAATTGTAGTACTGCACATTCCTAATGATGGCAATTGAGAATCACTGATCATTTTTTGACGCTTTCGAATTAATCGATCATTAGGCAAATTCAGCTTATGCAGTAAAGTGTGTATTCTCTGCGATAGGTTTCCTTTTTTCAGTAAAGAGTTGATACCGGACAATATTTTTTTTAATTCTTCTTCGAACTGAGTAGTTTGAGACGAAGCACGAATTTGTAATAATACCTGCAACTTGAAATTTTTGAAAATAAGAATTCAGTGTTACTAGAACTTTTTTCAATTGAAACCTGGATTAATGATGAATATCATTTAACTAAAAAACCTAATTTAATGTATCACCAAATATTTCTAAAAGCTTACTTTATTTAACACTCCAAATATTTCCGCCCACTCTTTTTCATTAGCAGAAGAATCTTCTTCTGATGCACTCATTAGAAATAGTGAAACAATTCCAGAAAGTGCTAAGAGAAATTTTTCAGGTGAATAAAGTGATGACTTTGACGATTGTTGTGGCTGTGAACCAAGCACACAAAAATCAATCAAAGGATGAGTGGTTGAAGCTAAGTTAATATTGGTATGATGCTTATTACGAATGCTAAACGATGCAACATGAAGAGGTCCAATTGTCGCACATTCCTCTACCAAAAAAGCTTGCAGGAAAGCATGAACACCATCTAGTAACAACTGAAAAGAAAAGTTATCAAGTCAATTGCATGAAAGACATTAAAAAAATTTTTTTACCATATGAAAGCAATTAAAATATCGGACAGTTTTATTTTTTAGTTTAATTTCATTTTAAATTTACAATTAGCAGAAACATAAATTAGAGCTCAAACATATACATTTCCTTTTATAGTAAACATTTATAACCTATTTTCTGCACTGAACAAATATATACTTTTATCTTCTTATGAATCCTTTCTTTTTCAAACAGCTGGCATGAGATTTCCACCCCCTAATGTGTGGAGTATTTAAATCAAAATATTTCAAAAAAATTGAAAAATGTTTGCTCTTACCAAATTCAAGCCTCAAATTTCAAGCATCATAATAAAAAAAATCCAAGAACCTTTTTGTTTGCTGGAATTCTCTTACTATTCAGAAATTCCACGAATGAATCGAATAAATCGGTACTATTTCGACAAAGACCAGGATAAGTTCGCATTATGAGCGTTAAAATGGTAAGCGCATAAATTCGTACCCCCATTCTGAGATGTGTTAAAGCTCGAAGAGTATGAGCCATTAACAGAGTGAAATGGGATGAAATCGTCGAAGCATTCGTTGTGCATAATAATTCCAGAAGACTACGTAGCTGAGCATGAAATGATGAATCGCTCTTCTGAAATCAATTGATAACTGATGCCCCATTTGAAGTTTATTATTAAATTTCGAGAAAAAAATAAGAATAACTTTAATCTCAAAATAACTTGAATTAAACGCTTAAAGAATAGTATTTGTCGTTTATAAAACTTACATCACATGCGATTAGACGTCCGACAGCTGGTATTAATACATGCAAATACTTCGATATGAGTTCCGGATGTGAAGAAAGTAACTGCTTTACACCAATTACTGAATCTCGTCTGATATTTAAATTATAATGACCAAGTTGACGACATAGTTCTTCTAGCGATAAGCCACGATGTGATAAGCAATGGTTGTCACTTTTCGTTAACTGTTCAACAAGTACAACCTAGAACGCTTAAGTAAGATATTTTTCTAAACTTATAATTTTATATAAAATATAGAATTGTGCATTGATAATAAATAATCCGAATATAACCTGAATTAAATAGTTTCACTCTTACCAGATATTAAAGAAACAAACTTTTTTGGACTGAATTCGTGTATCAGTTGCAGTAGTTTTCTTCAATTTTTTTCCAACTTTCAGCTTAATTTTAGGGAAATCTTTCTTTTTTTTGCCCATAGCACCAACAAACCCTAAATGAAAAACAGTTGAAAAGATCATCAATAGTGAAAGTGAAAAAATAGATCATCAGCGGTAAAAAGATACAGGAATCATTCCATCATACCAACACTTCCAGCTCTGCGCACATTCTTCAGGACAACTTATGTCGGATCCAGAATTATCTTGAGATCATTCCAAAGAAATCCCGTTATTCAGTAAAGAAAATACTGATGAAATATGGATCAAAATGGTAGTGGCAATGGATTCTCTTTGCCAACTTGACGATCTGCATCAAAAGATACAAATGTGAGACTTGAATCATAGGATTCAAGTCAAAAAGAAATCAAAAAATCCTTGTAATTAACGAAAGAAATAGTGTAAATAAAGGGAAAAGAATTTAGCTGAAAGAACTAAAACCTGACAACATAAGACACTAGGAAAGCAAAGATGGTTGATTCATGTTCTAAACAGAAACAACTGGATGGATTTGACAACTGCTAAACTAAAGTGGACAGATATTCGTAATTTGCTTAGGATTGTCTTCCCTATGTTATTACCCAAAGAGTGGAATAGTTGAAATTTTTTTGTGGAAATATTGATAACGGATCTGAATGAATATGATAGTCTACCGAAACAATGCCACAAACACCAACTTAATTACATTTTTATATATCAAAACAATGTACATAAAGCAGCAGTGCATAAGTAAGTATAAATCTAAAGAATTATTTCTGGATATCACATGAAAAAAAAAAAAAAAAAAACAATGCATATGTCATACATATAATACATCAATTATTGAAACATGATGAAAGGGAAAAAATATAAATATTTAATCCCATTTCATTCCATCGAAATTATATGCATAATAGCAAAACACAACTGACATTCGAAAATTGATATTCATGTAAAATTCACTTCCGACAAAGCCATTCGCACAGCAATCAAATCTTTGCTACCCGGGTTCTCGGTAACTAATTGCTTTAATTTCTCCATGTAAGTATCAATATTCTGCGAGGTTGGATATTCTCCTACAAAATAATAATTGACCAAGAACAATACTACAGAAGAATACTAATTCAAAAATGAAAAATAACGACCAAACTATTTCTACAGATCTTCCGATCATTGTTATAATGTTCGCGAAATAAGATAAATTTGAAAAAATTCGAACCTGATGAATTATCAACTAAAGTGGTGGAAACTTTTACTACTAATAATCAAAGTTTACCATCAACAGAAACATATGCTAGAGCGTCAACCAAAAGTTTTGTCCATCGCTGTTTTATTTTCGTAGACCAGTGCGATGTTCCAGATTGATGTCCATGTACTAATTTCATCCTCTCTGACAGTCTACAAAATTTGGATTTCTAAAACTTTGCTAGATGCGAAAACCAACAATCAAAAAGATCGAGCCATATCAATGTAAACGGTTCATGTCAGTTTCATTCTCAATTATGTAGAACAGAAGTCATGTTTCATCAAAACCATCCACTCATATGCGATATCAAATCTCCTTGATTAGGTTAAATATATTTGTGCTTACCAGTGCAATGAACCTTAAGGAACAAAATTATAAGCTCACTTTGCAATGTCAGCTTTGAGGAGATCTTTTTCTTCTTGTAGAGCACTCACCATTTTCCTCAACTTTTTGCATTTACTTTCCTGGTCTAGAAAGAAAACTGATTTGAAAACAAATTGATATATATTATATAGCTCTATGGTCTAGAAAATATTAAATATATAATGCATATAAACAACATTAAGTAACGAAAAATAAGGTTAATAGCCCAAGTAATACATAAACAAATGCTTATTCATTTAATAAAATTTAATAAAATGTCATTGTGGCTATAACCTCGAAAATTTTCTAATAGAACAGTTAAATATGGAACTTTTGTTGTCAATTTCAGTTAAAATTTAATCAGACATTTTGGGCCATACTTTTATTGTATGCAAGAAATTCCTTGCTGAATATTGGAATGTCACCCGCAACAACTGCTTCATTTTTGTCTTCTTCCTCAAAAGCAAAATCTATTTTCACAATCGAAAAATTACTTCTAAAATCCTAATTATTCCTCAAAACAAAAAAGTTCTTTTGAAAACTAAGTAAGTCAAGAAGAGATTTACCTCATCATCATCGGATTTCACATCGCTTTTGCGCTTCTTCAATTCCAACATCCTTTGCTTCATCAATCCTTCTTTTTTAACTGAAATTCGATTTCCTTTCAAGTTGAAAGTTCATTTCGCATATCAGAACGAAATAATTTCTAAGTACTGATTCGCTTCATTCTAATTCACGAAAACATTTGGAAGAATGACCTCGCGTATATAGTGGTTGGAAAAGAATTCTCTGTTTACTACCCTATTTATCGCTAAGAATACATGAAATTTAGAACCAGATAAGCACTGAATTATGAAATCACATTTAGTAACCCGGATTACACACTTTTTACAAAACGATAGTTATGATAATAATGAGAAAGAAAAGCGGATTAAATTATTGAAGAATAGAAAACCAAAAAAAGTAAACCAAAGAAAGTCTGCAGTAGAGGAAAAATTAGCAAACCTTTGAACTGATTATAAGCTTCTGTTTTTTTGTATTCTTCCATAGCTTTCTCATATTCCGCATGTTCCTTAGCTGATTTGTCAACATAGAACTAAGGAAGAATAAATACTGTTGATACCAACGTAACTTCAAATTATTATATTGAATAAAATCAAAGCCAACCTTTTTTTGATCATCCGGTAAAACTTTCCATTGCTTTCCAATATCAGCAAGAAAACTACGCTGACGCAGCGCTTCATGGCTACCAGACTCTGCTAATTCTTTTCTGCGTGCACTGGATTCAAAAATTTTCATCATTTTGTGCGCTTATTTTCTTATTTTCTACTTTTCTACATATTACGTCTACGATATCACTATCAGCAATATAACATTTTTCCATATTGCTTTGATAGTAATATTTCATTCAGTATAAATGAATGCAGAAAGGGCAACACACTTAACAAAATGAACATAAGCGGTACGAGGTCGTTTTGGAGCATTTTCATCGACATAGACAATCCTTTTCTTCTGACGTTTATTTTTCGCTGATAACTTATGTGCCGTTTCGGACATTTGATAACTGCTAAAAGAAAGTAAGATATAACCATAAATATAACTTCTATTTATTGGTAGCAACAATCTAATATATTAATAATACTAAAATTTAGTTGTATTTCTAATTATATCAGAAAAATGAATTTATAAATTACACGTGAATGTCTTTTATCATACAAAAATATTCCGTATGATAAAGACCAAATATAAGAGATATACTAAATAAGTAATGCTAGATGAACAATATGACAAACACAGATACAATGTAAATAAAAAATTTAACAATCAAATATAGAATCTTTCCTATATATTACGGCCATCATTGAAAATTTCAAATCCCATTCAAAATTTATCTTAGAGATACTGGAATTGGAGACTGGAAGAAGAGATATTGAAGAATATTTCATGTTTGATATTATTAAACATTTATGAAGAAATTATTTATTTATATATATATATATATATATATATGTATATAGATCTAACAGAAATGCTATCCTATCTATCCTCTGAGATGTGAGACTTTCAATTCGAATAAACTGAAGACAGATTGGAAAATGTTAAGGACAAAAAAAAAGAGATGGAAGAATCAATTGGAGCCTATTTCTTCATCATAACAAACAATCGTGTCACTGATTCTTTAGCTAGTTAATTAATTGTCGTCCTTAATTTGCAGATGAGTCGAAGCCCACCCATTTCCACCTTGAAGTACATATATATTTTGTCCTCAACAGTAAGATGGAAATTCATAGTGGCAGTATTTAGTGAGATATATGATCATTTGGCCAAAGTTTATTTCAATTAATTCATTTATTTCAAGAGATATACGTTCTTCATACAAACATATATGCATGCTTACGTATGCAAATGCACATTTTATGTGCTGTAATTTCATTTGAATTGAAAAAGAATACACACACATACATACATACATACATACATACATACATACACACACACACACACATACACACACACATACACACACACACATACATACACCACATCCACACGTACAATGGTGAAAATATAAAAAGAGACACCATTTCAAAAGGTATATGTAGAATGATTCAAGTTAAATATACTCACTCTCTTTCGCTTTATCACTGCCAAATGCTGTTGCAGTAACTTATCGAATTGTTCTAATATCTAAAAAGAAGAGGCCTTATATGAAATACAGCACTTAACATATAAAAATGATTCAAGTTTTGTTTCACTACATGTAACAAAAGTTATAGACAAACATTTTGAAAACAGAAAGGCAGAAGCCAGATTGTTAATACAGAGATAATGTGTAGCACATATTTTGAAATGTAGAAATGAAATTTCTGGCACAGAATGAAAGAAGGCATAAGAATGCATAAGATTGCAATTTTTTGAAATATCAAGAGTTGAATTAAAGATGCTCCATATTTTTTAAGTTTTCAAAACCATTGACAATTAAAAGATTTTGCAAGCTCTTTGAAAAATATTAGGGTTGAGCTAGTTGAGCAGGGTTTAGGTCTCTCAAATTTGAAAAGATATACAATTCAACAAACTGAAATTAATACAGCGTCCAATATAGAAATGAAATAAATGAGAACCCGTTGCTAGTAACATATAAACAATATTTCTGAAACAAAATTCTTTACAACAAATCAATCACAATCATCGCTGAGATGACAAATAACAATGTACAAATAAAGTTTACAGTTATAAGAAATGGAATTAGTGCTGATAAAAGCAATTGTATGAAATTATTGGATCACTAATGTGATGTAGCAATTATCATGGTATATGTATAACATGGAACCGTTGCCGAACCGATCTCAAAGAATTTCAAAATTTTTCTTAGCAAACTTAATAGAATTGCTAACTAGCAAGCAAAGAATGAGTGACATAATACTTAAGGCTTAGGAATATCTCAAGAATGTTTTCCAAAAAAACTATTTACCAAAAGAAAAAAAAAAAAAAAGAAAAAGGAAAAAAAAATACAATAAATAGGCAACTAGAAAAGGACACTTCAACCAAATATTTATGGCTTTTCATTTTCTTTCGGCAATAACGATACGGCACCTGCCTGTAAACAAGTAAACAAGAAATTTTAAAATCAACGTCATAATTTTTTTTTAAAACTTTCAATATTCGAGCAATAACGATAGTTTAATGCATGGCAATAAAACAATGCATCGAAAACCTAATTCAGATTAATCATCTGAGACCTATTTCATAATTTCCTTATCTTAAAACTAACATCCGTTAGACGGTCAACAGTTCCACTTGAAATCTATGGCAATGTTTTTGAGGCTCTTTTGGAAATTCTGAACAGTGTTCAATCATAAATCTATACCGATGAATCATTTCAATACTTTGATCTGTTGAATTAAGCATCAAAATCGAAATTCTACGCATTTCGATTTTAAATCCTTATAACACCAGGATAATAGAATTATAAGAAACCTGTACAAGTAATGTTGGCTGTCCTTTTCTTCGTATTCGATACTGTGTTGGAAGCTGTGATGCTCCAGAACTGCCGGATAACACTGACATATGTTCTTCAGAAACACGCGAGCGTTGTCGTTCCATTGCAGCACGACCTATAATCGTAAAAATATAGCGAACTACTAACCAGTGAAATATAGTGGATGACTTCCTCTAGAAGCTTCATTTTTTCAATTTTAATGAATCAGTGTACTAATGCAGTATTACAAAATCTTGATTACCAGCACGGGTACGTGGTGTTCTCCTTGGCGTCCTTCTTTCTGTTCCTTCTAAATATCCTGCTTCTAGTATCTTCTCAATTTCATCCACAACACCCAAATCCTGTTTTCCTGAAATATTTTTAAACAATAAAGTTTAGAAAGTAATTGAAGCCGAACTTCCTAAAACAAGAAATTGCAGTCGAATACTAAATAAACACCTCACAATTCTCAAAAAAAAAAAAAAATTTATAGAGTCACAGTGCTCATCTACTGGATTACCCTAAATTCTAGTGTCCTATTAAACACTTCTGTAATAAAGCCATTGTCAATTAATGAAGAAATTAAAATTGGAATTTACTACTGTAAGAATTTGAAAGAATTTACTACTGTAAAAAAGTCCAAAAACTCCAGTAATTTTTAAAAAGAACTACTTTAGTATGAACTACTCAAATAATTCAGACACAAGTACGCTAGAAGATCCAATGATAAGATATTCAGCGTATAGCCGTATGATCTCCGTTAACAGCCACGTACCTTCGTCAATCGTATTGATTGCTATTTTAAGAGCGGGATGATTATTCCATTATTTAAGTATGCTGTACAGGTAAGATGACAATGTTACATTCACTTACAAACCTATTTTGATAATAATATATATATATATATATATATATATATATATATATATATATATATATATATATAAACCTGTTTTCAGGATCCCTTCGATTGCCACAGTGCGATTCAGTGGAGATGCTGCAACTCCTGGTTGCAAGGGCTTTAATGGTAGTCTTTTCTTCCTTTGTTCCTCACGTTCTTTTACTTCACGCATTTTCTCCATGTCATGAATTACTTTCTAAATGAATAAAATATAAAGAGAAGGTGAATATTAATTCAATTCATTTCTTACTTCTTACTGTTCAGATTTTTTGGATTTTTACATGTGAAGTGATCATTTTTATATGTGCAGGTCGAGTCTGTGTTTTGGAATTGCATAAATTTCCAATTTCAACACTCTACCCTTACCTCGTAATCTTCTTTAAACAATTTCAAGTCACTAAAAAATGTTTCCATGTTGTATTTTTTCGGGTCAAATGAATAATATTTCCTCAAAGACTCCCATTTTGCGTTCATCGTGTTATACATCTGCAAATTACTTCATATTTAAATGCCATTAAAATCCTAGTGAAATAGAACTGTAACCGATATTCAGATATCTCACCCACAATATTCAAAATATTTACTGATGTTTATATTCGAAACTTTTAAATAAACTAACTTTTTCTACAATTTCGCATTCTGTTTTTGCCTTTGATAAGAACGGACCCATTTTTTCAGGGAACAAATCATTTTCTGCTTGCCTGACAAACGTCTTCAGCTGATTCTCGACCTGTAAAGCACCACAATCGATTAACACACAGCAACTGTGAAGTTTTTGATGTTTCTCATTCAACTACATATTAAAACATAAGATAATCTAAAGCAATGAGGTACTTTTTCAATTCAATTACTGAATGTAGCAATCAACTGGATTCATTTAAAAAAAAAAAAAAAAAAATCAAGACTGCATAAAAATCACTTTATTGAGAGCATTTTTTAGAGCGTTAACGCCTTTAGCTACTTCGTCCGCATTGACGCGTGAAGCTTTATCAACATGGAGGAATTCATCTTTCGGAAAGTTTGCATATAGACCATTCGCTTCGGTAGACATACAACTTACGAGGTAGTGCAAAAGTGACTCACTATTGTTTACATCTTTCGTACCACTTAACTGTAAATAAAATTGTGTTAAATCACAAAAAAACAACCTCCCGAAATTGGGTCAGAAGTTTGTTTCACTGTGATTTCTGATTACATATGAAGTATTCCGCAACATTTCAAAACATTCAAAAGTAATCATTTAATACCTTTTTCAATACACTCATTTCAAATCCGAATATGTCCTTATATGTTTTCGATGAGTGTCCCATGTAATTTCCAACCAAAAGAACCATTTCTAGAAACATCTTGAAGCCATTTGACATCCGAACTTCATCGCATGCTTCTATCACAGCAGATATTGTCTGAAATAGTCATGACAAAGTAATATCAGCAACCATTTTATAAAAATATATTTTGTGTTACTAAACTTATGCAGCGAATAATGCATTTGAAGACAGTATTAAAGAAATGGAATATATACGAAAAATAATCTTACACCGAAATATTGAACGATATCACAAATACACAAACCGGTTTTGTATTAAAGAAATGGAATATATACGAAAAATAATCTTACACCGAAATATTGAACGATATCACAAATACACAAACCGGTTTTAAATCGCTAAGAGTTTTATCAAATTCGAGCATGAAAATCATAGAATCCAATCTTGCAGACAATCCTTTTATTGAAGCTAGTGTTGCAGCAAACTAGAAAAGTTAAATTAAAAAGAGTCAAAACATTGAAAAGATTAAACCCAAAAATTTTTAATTTGTTTTAAATATGAAATTGTCTGTAAATTACCACCTGTTCACCTTCAGGCATCTCATTGAATTTGTTACCAGCTAAATCCTGAAGTTTCTTCAACGTATCAGTTGGTGGCAAAGCATTTCTCAGCTGTTGCATTGTTCCCGAAGATATTACTCGATCATCAATTTCCAACAAAATCCGTTTCCATTCCTCTAGCGGTATCTTCTGTGATCCTTGCAAAATGGCTGGAAAAGAGAATTCGTTGCATAAAAAAAACTTTCCAGTTAGTAATTATTCCATTTAAAAGATCTTAATCTAGAAACAAAAAAATGCTGGAAATTGAATTTTAAATACCAAGAGTTTGCAAAATTTTTTCGTCTTGTATGACGAGTGGTTTACGGACTTTCTTCTTCGGCAAACTCCTTCCACTTGCTGTTGAATCAGACTCAGCAGTGATACTTTGTCGACTAGAAATAAACCATTATGTAAACAATTCAAGATGATTTCTAGACTACAAGTTTCTCACACTCTAACTGCCTCATAAAATTAATTGCATAGCGATTATCATCATTATAAATTGAGATCTTCATCTTTTATTTATGAGTCTCAGCATTTATACATTAAAAAATTATTTTTCATACTGAAACAATAAGTATATCTGAATATACTGCAGAAACAACTATTAAAATTTTTATTCCTAATGAAGCTGAAAAATTCTACTTCGCTGCAAATTTTTTTTTCAGTGTTTCAAACAATCGTTCATTCGCGAATTTCTCTTCCGCTGTTTGCGCCCAAAAAGAGTCTTTACTGATTTCTTTGGGTTTGATCTGAAAAAAAAAAAAAAAAAGGAAAAACTTGGCACACAGAATAAAAACCAAGTACAACTTGTCCCATTTTTCATATGAAATCAGGAATACTTGAGAGACTTACCGTTGCTGAGCTCCATGGAATTTTTTTCATTGCCACATTGACTTCACGACGCGGTTTTTTCTTTAGATATTCCGGTAGTTCAGGACTTACCACTTTATTCAAGAGTCCAGGTGGTGGCAGTCCAGGTGGACCTTGTCCACCTAGCAATAGCGGTGGCGGTGGTGGTGGTGGTGGTGGTGGTGGTGGAGGACAACTTCCTGTAAAAATTATCATTGTATATTTCTGAAAGTTTATAAGAAATTTTACTTCAAAAAAGCTGAAAATTTAAAATAAAAATTACCAGACGGTGGAAGAGATGGAGGCAAAGGTGGAGGTGGAGGTGGAGGTGGCGGTGGTGGTGGAGGAGCAATTTGGTGGCCAGGTGCTGGAGGTGGACTTCCTGTTACGACATTTAACTTATCTAATACTTCGGCATAGGTATCTGGTGGCGGTAAACGGCTTGTTGGTGGAGGAAGTGGTGCATTTGGATCATTTATCTGAAAAAATAAGAAGACACATAGTTTGAATTTAAAATTGAACCCAACAAAACCCAAAATATACAAAGGCTCACAAAGATCTTACATGCTTTCTGAGCTGCTCTGCCTCATTAGCAAACTCTTCCATCCTTCTGTAATATTGGCTCAATTTGGCTAAGGCTTCATTTTTTGCTTGCGTAGCTATTTCCACACGTTTATTAGCCTGCCTTCCTTCTTCGCCATCTTCCAACGTGTCTGAAAGCAATTGATCAATTTAACCTGAGAATTATATTAAATATGTCTTTTTGAATATGAAAAATAAGTTGAAGACTCATGAATTTAAGAACAATAAGATATAAAAAAAAGTCTACTGACCAAGAAAATGGGTGATATCTTGAGTAAATTCGAATTTCCCACGGAAATCGGGATCCACACATGTTTTCGGCAGAACGATTTCTGAGATGCAATTCTCAATCAGTCGAAAATACTCCGTCCTGTCGAAATAATATATATCTAACATTTGATAATAAATAAAGCATTTAAGATTTAACCCAAGACCTTCCTGAATCGAAATTTATTTGTTTGGTAAGTTTTCACCTCACGCCAATGTCGTCGGTTACTAGAAGAAGATGTTGTAGAATGCTCAAAAATGGTCCTTCAGCTCTAGTGTTCTTTACACCAGCTAGCAAAATGCTATAGCAGCAGTCCGGCTCTTCATATTCACCTTTTCTGAAATATATTACTGTTAAATGATTCAATATTTTATATTCTATAAAGTACTGCATATTTTATAAACAATGATGTATTGCCGATGCAGGATTCCTTCATTAATTGAGTAAAATAAGTCACGTATAAGTAAATAAATTCATTTTTTGGTGACTCCTTTCAAAATGACACAATTAATGGCACTATAAGAATAACGAACATTTGTTCAAATCGATTTACAAGTTCAGCAAAGTCAGCTTCTTTGATCCGACAGAAATTATCATACTGCTTCTTGATTGCTTCCAGAGTGCAACTTTCCAAAAACTGTAAACATAAAGTGTCCTAGTGGAAGCTCTAATGCACAAAACGGAATACTGATTCAGCAGCTAAAGTCATTTCCAACTAATTTCATTACCAAAAACTCTCAGAATTCTTGACTTCCTTAATTTGATCCATAAGTACTTAATTTCTTGATGATATTCTTCTCCCTACTAAGACCTTTACTTATGTGGATACAAAAGAAAATTTCTGATCACATTGCTTTGGGGGAAATAATCTCAAAGCATCATTTCCATATGTAATTGACATCGCTGACGAAGAAAATATCAGTGAAGTATGAAATTCAATAATATATTAGCTATTTGAATCTAATTAAATCAAAATTTGAATAAAATTAAATCTGACTTGAACGCAATCGTACATTCCAGCACGCATGAATTCACTTCTCCAATGCATCCGAATTTGCCAGGCACCTTCAGCGGACGCACGACCTTCCTCAGTAGTTGTATCATCTGGTTCCGGCACATCCAGCATTACATTTACCAATGTCATAGCTTTCTTCTAAAATCACTGATCAGCTTATATGGATTTTATTTGTTAATGCTATCTTTTGCAATTATTTCGTACAAAAAAGTTCAAAAGAAAAAAAACTATCCGAATTAAATTATAACTAACCACTACATCGAGGCGATTCGACTTATTCAGACAGCTAACAATGCAGCTAAACCTGTCGCATTTTCGTAATCGAGCTTCTTCGGTTAAGGCTTGTAAGAGCGTTTCACGTCTGCAAATCCAAAATATTCTTTACATCATATAAAATGAATGAGGCTTATATTTCTTTAAACTTGATTTTACAACTAACAGAAACCCGAAACTGAAAGAATCAAGAATTTTTAGACGTCATATCATGCAGATTTTGACACTATTATGTAGTTTCTTTTATTTGTTTAATCTAGAATTAATTTTGCTATTTCGAAAATAGCCTACCCTTTGAGTTCAAATTTGTCATCATTAACAAAAGCCACGACGCCCAAGAGACTCACTGTTACAAATTTCAGTGAATCCCAATGATCCAAAGATGGCTTTCCAGAAGCCACGGAAAGTATTCCAACCAAACATGAAAACATTTTCGATTGACGTCTAAAGCACATTTCCATTCCAGGCTTAAAAGAATATGCAAAATCAGTTTGACGAGATAAGGAAGCTAATGAAACTTCTACTTAACATTTAAAAATCTGACTTATAATCATAAAAACTAATAGGTCAAATTAGCATAAAATTTCAAAACTTTCTTGTCTTTTTTCTAAATACTAATTAAAAAAATTTATTATATTTTTAAATACTCACCCATGTATTGACAACGGATTTCAAACATTTGACACTGTCATGCAATTGCAAAGCATATTCTTCTTCCCGTTCAGAATTTTCTGATAACCGTAGGGATTCGATAAGATTATACATTATGTGGAATAATAACTGAAGACCACCTTGATTGCCGAACTATAAAAACATATGAAAAGAAAAGAAAATATACATTGCTTGTCAGCATAACTAATCTAATCTACAAAGGAAATGAACTTTTGCTAGTTATTTAAAATAAGCGACCAAACTTTAATTATTATAATTTTTTGACTTTGACAACCTATACCGAGTAATCGGTTTTTTTTTTTTTTAAGCTCACTTTTCTGTCAATCGTTCTTTATTCATTTGTAAAAACAAGCAGAAAATCTCAATTTTCTTCATTTTTTTTTTTCTTTTTTAAGATATGAAGCTAAAGTTAGAGTGTCATCCATCACAAAGTTATAATCAGCCAATTTTTGTTACAAATTTATTGGAATCAATATTATTACACAATACCTCTTTAATCCAATCCACTTTCTGAACACTAAGCTGGACTTTCAAGTCTTTCAATACATCCTTCATCAGCCTAGCTTCTTCTCCCGATACCAACATTCTTTCAACACGTCGAATCAGATCAATCGGTCGCTGAAAAAATTTTCTCACATTATTTCATGAATTTGGAGCTAATTTGCAAAGAATTTGCTTGGAGCTCTTTTATTCGGCCATTCTAATTTATTTTAATGTAAAACAGACTATTGAACAATTCAAGAAAGAACCTTGGAATTCTCTTGAGTAGCCATATTAAGTCGCTGAGATTGACAAACCATCTGTCGTTTCTTTTCCATATCATTATCTGCTAATAAGGCACGAAATTTCTCATCTTTTATATTCATTTGTTTCTGAAATTTAACTGAAAATTAACAGATGTCCGTATACAATTATGCTTGCTGCAAATTCCTCTAGTTAAACTATTAAACTATCCTCAATTTTCAAAGTTTCCAAAAAAATTTTCTTCTGAGCTTTTATTATCAGTTCAAAGTGAGCAGTCATGCTTCGTTAAAAAAAAAAGTCTTTGAAAGCATTATTAAAAACTCATCTATTGGTTAAAAGTTAAAAATGCATCTCACAAGCAATTCAGCAAATGCGGCATTAACTTGATCATCATTCATCCGATTAACTTCATAATAATTAGGTTCCATTACTGCTCTACTTGTTTCCGGTAAGCTTGTACAATCCGTTTCTGGCTAAAACATGATACTAATATTTAAGAAATTAAAAAATGACATAACACTGATAATGATAATCGTATACTTTTTTCTTCATCTGCTAATAATCAGCAAAGCAAAAACCACACTGAGAGCTATACTATAAATTAAAATCGAAAAATTCACAAGTTTTGATGATTAAAGATTTAGTTCGAAGTATCATAAAATTAATTTCTAACGTTGTTGTGAAAAAAAATATGGCGAAAGAAAGCAAAATATACATATCCTCATGTACTGAAACTTAAAATTTCAGTGATGTGTCCAATAAACAAGTTTTTTATAGAAAGTTTAAATTTAAAATCTCCCGCTTAATCCTGTCAATTAAATATGTCACATCTGTGATGTGTGACAATCTTCACTTTGTGTTGCTGAACTGCTTGCAAACTCAGCAAACTTTTCTCTTACTTTTTCTCTAACACTCTACCACTCAACAAAATGAAACCGAACAGAAATTAAAAACTTAAATTATCAAGAATTCAAATGAGAAAGAAAAAACGTCACTTGATTCTTTTAATTTCAAAATTTCAGAATAAAAAAGTTTGTATAATCATATTTGATGTGAACTGGAAGATTTTCTTATTGAGTTATAATCCATAACAAATTTTTATGATTAAATAAGTGAGAAAATAAAAAAGAAATCGAACCAATGATCGAATTGATAAACTAGAGAAGACATGATGATGATGGTGATGGTGACCATTTTCTGGCCGGAAACTTCGCAAACTTCCGCTATCCTTCCCTTTATACTTCTTTGATCCGAACATAATCGAATCAATCTGTAATATTTTTACATTTAAAACAATAATATATTTTACATTTAAAAATATACAAATATACAAAAACAACTTTATTTTTATTCATATCTCAGAATTTAAATGAAAAGAAATAATTTTTAAATATCCATAAGTTAAACTATTACCACCAATTATTTCCTTATCTAAAAATTAGAAAATGATAAGTAAACTATCTCAATCATCATCATCATCATCTAACCTAATATAATTATTAATCCTTATTAGGATGTGAATTATTTCATGTTGTTAGTAAGAATTAGAACAATAGGACAAGTTCATCATTTTGATTTTCAAATAAAAAATCCGCCGTGAACTTTAACCTCTCTGTTTATATGTACTGACTTCAAGAGTATTTTACTCCACGGACAACAAATGACAGAAATAGCAATTTTGTATTTGAAATTAGGAAGGAAAGTGAATTTCTCTCTCTCTCTCCCTCCCTCCCTCCTTCCCTCTTTCTTCTCCTTTCTTTTCTTTCTCTCTCTGCTTGAGGACAATGAAAGTGGGAAGGTCACACAGGATGGTATCACGATGCTTCCTCTGGATCTACACACACTTACCAGTGACCCTGAGAACCACAAAGGATAGATATTGTCATCGCTAATTCCTACACTTACTCTTCTGACCTTTTTTTTTCTCCTCTTTCTCTCCCTCTTTCTCTCCCTCTCTCTCTCTCTCTCTTAGCTATCAGTAAAATTATATGTAAACATTGAATTTTAAGCATGGAATTATGATTAGATACCAAGTATTATATGTAAATAATATTGTATTAAAATCGAATCATTTGAAAGTATTATCAGTAATTGGAAGTTCTTAGTGATAAATAAGAAATATCAATGATATCAGTTTGAGATTTAGAAAAGACGATGAAATGATAAGAATTAAAGAAAGAATATAAAAGATAAGCATAATTCTTAAAAAGTCATCTCAAAATCTATTAAAATTTAATAAATTTGTATGTTTTGTTTTTTTTTTTTTTAATATGTATTTTTGTTTTTCTTAATTTTTTCTTAATTATATTCCTTAATTTTTATTTTCAATATTTTTTATTTTTTATTCTAATTCTTTCAATGTTCAATGATTATAAATAACTGACTGTTAATGAAATAACTGTTAAACAATTAAGAAGATAAAATGAATAGCAAACAATGAAATAATGATAAAATTTTTTGGAATATAAAATTAATTAATATGCAAAATTTAATAGCATATAAACAAATTAATTTTATATAAACATTAATGTGTACAAACAAATTAATTACAAATTTTTTTCATCAATTTAAAATATTTTCATATCATACATTATTAATGTCTGTTCAAAATTACAACTTTTTTTATAGATTAAATGAAATATTATTTAGTTACTACGATGGTACTACAATTATTACAATTTATTCTTTGCTTATAATTACAAATATGCTATGCTTTGCAATGATCATAGTAATTTTATATAAATTTTCAATTTTGGAAAAGTATAAATCATAAATATGAAAAAAGAAAAAAAATTTGATAATGAAGTAAACTGAAATATCATTGCAACAATAATTTTGATTATCAAAAATGGAAAGGTTAATTACAAAAAGATGAGTGTAATACTTAATTACTAATTACTCATTCATTTCATCTTACTTTTTAAAAAAGAAAAGAAAGAAAAACAAACCTATCTTTCTATACAAAAAAAAATTCTTTTTTTTTTTTAATCAAATTTTAACCTTTTTGATTTTTTCATTCATTTGAAAATGTACTATTAAAGAAATGTTATCAATTTCTCATATTTTATTAATGAATTTTTAATCTTTTTCGAGAACAATTAATGCATGAAAATTTTCCATAAAATTGAATAGATCAAATTTCATGGACGGATTATTCTCTTCGATTTTCAATTTATTTATTGCTAAATTTTTTATTTATGAAAACTTTTTTAAATTTTTGTTTTTTTATTGATTATGCTTTAAATATATTTATTAAAATAGTAAATTTCTCATGGATGATAATTCTCTGAAATTATCGCTTACTTTCCATAACTTTTTCAGTAATGCAAAATTCAACACTTCAATAATTTTATTTCTTGAATATTCTTTTAATTTTTCCGATTAGTATAAATTTGATAAATAAATTTGTAGTCTTTTAATTATTGAAAAGAGATTCATGCCAGTATGCTTATTATTATTATTATTTTTTGATTAGTATAAATGTGGTATATTTTTACGTGCGCATTTAAATACCATTAAAATTTCAAAACTTCCATTAGCAATCTTTGTTCTTTTATCCTTTTCTATTGATCAATTAAATTTTCAATTTCATATTATCTGGCATATTTTTAGCTTTAAATTTTAAATGATAATCACTTCTATCATTTTGATATGAGAAATGATATTTGCTATAGTTTTTCATATCTATCGTTAAATTACTTATTTGCAATTAACTTATATTAACCACCCAAATTTTCAATTGTCAAATCAATCATTCATTTCAATAACAATGTTATTTTACAGAATAATTCTTCTACACGAATTGAATTATATCATAAATGCTATATGAAATATGATTTCATCTAATAATAGCATTAGAATTAGATAGAATATATTGTTGTCACCGATATGTCTCTTTTATTCTCTGTTTTGCGCGCCGAATAAAAAATGAACAATGTCACTTTTAGAATGTCTTTTCAATCAAACGACAAAAAAAACCTACCTACTGCACAAAAATTATTTATTTCTCACAATTTGAAATTTCAAATATACATACATACACATACACATACATACACACATACACACACACACACACACACACACACACACACATGCACACATACAAATACATTCATTCACATATAAAAATAATCCTATTTTGATTGAAAGTATTATTTTACATCTTTCCCAATCATTGTCAACATTCACTACGTCGTGAATGCATTACACATGCATGCATGCATGCATCATGTATGCATGTATACATACTAATAAATGCAAATAATACCGCCATTTCTATTAACATTCCATGTCCCTCTATTTGTCACACAATAAACGCTCATTTGTCATTCATATTTATACACATTTACATTATGTTAAATTTATAATTTTCAATTTTAAAATTTCAATCAAATTGTTAAGTGTTATTATTAAAATTTGTAAGAGTTTTTTTTTTTTTCTTTATTCTATGACAAAAATTAATGAGAAATATTAGGTAATAAATGAAGATAATATAAATTGTAACTCAAAAATTTCCTCTAATGATACTACAATAACACATGCAATCAACATTTATCACTAAATGTTGATAAGCTAACATGAAATCATCTAAGATTAGCTCTTCTTAATTTTTCATTTTTCATTTAACAATTGAACAACAATCATTAGTTTCTTTGATAAATTAGAAAAGTACAATGAATATATTGCTTTTAGTTAAAATATTATTTCCTATTCGTATCCAATATTAGCGCTTCAAAATTTAAACTGTGACATTTGAAGATGCTAAAATGATCAAATAAATTTTCAGACGAATTTGCAATCGTTTAAGTTTTAAATTTTAAATTATAATACAAAATATCATTTGTTGAGGAAAATTTTTTTTTCTTTCTTTGTAACGCAATAAATTTAGTAAGATTACTAGCTTCAATACTTTCATTTATGCTCTAAAATTTTAAATTTAACTATAAACGCATATTTTCTCATTTCAAAATAATATACCTGAACAAATGAATGATAAAATGAATAATATTTAAGTGTGAACAACTGTTTTATGCCTTCCTTTTTCATTTCTAATTTTTTGAAAACAAAACAATCAACAAAATTCCATTTTAAAATTTAAAAATGTATATAATAAAAATATGGTAAACTGAAAAAATTAGAAAGTTTGTAAATTATTTAATAATTAGCACATGCTAATTTGCAAAAAAAAAAAGGAGAAATAGAAATAAGTAAACTATTATCTTATAATTGGAATGAAATTATTCATATCCATGAATAACGACAAAAAAAAAAAATGATGTTTTAAACTCATACGAATTGTATTTGTAAATATAAGAAGAGAGCTGTGAGATGAATCAAAATGATTCCTTTATGGCGCAACTCATTAAAGTGCGCAAAAAATGGATCTAAATTTCAGATGAAAAAATATTTCCTTTTAGTATGTATGAATATATTTCATTGATAATGAGCCATTTTAGAAAAAGAAAAAAGAAAGAAACTTGTATTTTTTAATGAGAAATTTTCGAATTATCAAAGAATTCAAGATAAAGAATAAAAAGCGATTTGTTTTAGGTGACATTCACGATAGCTCAAAAATGTCGAAAGTTATTTACATCAAAAGATGATATTAATCCAATTTTACCATTTTTTCAATGAATGAAACTAATAGATTATCCTGGAATTAAAATTCAGTAACAGTAATGTAAGCTTATATATTACAATTATTTTGCATTCTATTTAAGAAGGATTCTGATGCAAAAGTAGAAGTAATGATGTAATTGTAAAAATAAAAGTAATGATAAAATTAATAAAAAAAAGTAAATTTAGAAGAGAGAAAACTGAGAAATTTAACATACCTTATGACCAAAAACCATTAAATTCGTAGATTCAGCCTTTCCTTTCTTAATTTTTCTTGAATCTTCCATTTTCTCCAACGAATCGTCTGGATTCTTAATCATTTCATCAGTGATATTCAATGAATCTGGTGTTACTTGCAAAGCTTCCGGATCAATATCAGAAACTAAGTTTTCCGTAAGTGTAGAATTAAATGACTGATCATTAAGTAAGATTTTTTGCTGATCAGAACCAGAAATTACATCTGTTACAGTGTTTTCTAGGAGCGATGAGTTAATATTATCTTCAGAATGCGGAATAGATTCTGTAGCAGATCCGGTTGATTTGATAAGTTCAGCTGGAAGTATCACTGAGCCTAACGATTCTGTAGATGTTAACGAAGTTTTACTGGAATGAATTGAGGATATTTGTGTTAATTCTGATGGTAAATTCTTTGAAATAGCAATTTCGGAACGTTTTTTGCTAAATGCTGCATGCTTCCAGAAACCGGTTATAGCTTCATAGAATTTATTTTTCGATTGTGTTACTTCACAGCTATTTAATTCTTCAGTATCTTTTAATAATTCAATACCACAGGTAACTTTCGATTCATTTGTTGGCAAATTTTCCACAATTCGTGAATTCATAGTTGCAGCAAGTTCATTGCTATCGATTCGCTTATTATTTTCTTCTGGAATTTTTGCAGAACATACCATTTCGATGACATTATTCATAAGTGTCAACTTTTCTCGGACTGTATCATTTAAGATGACAGGATTATCCGAGACAAAATTCTCATCAATCTTTTGCTCTGATTCAGTAATATATGTATCAGATTTTGATAAATTTATCCCATCTATTTTTGTCTCAAATTCTTCCCCTTTCGATTTCTTTATGTTTTCATTCTTTTCCTTGACTTCTTGTAATTCAGGTTGCTCAGTTCTTTCCGAAAATATGCTATTTCCGGTATTATCATCCTCATTGCTAACACTACAATCATTCAATTCAATTCTTATATTCGAATCCTGAATGCTATTGCTATTTAATTGTTCAGTAGTTCTTTCAATTGAATTATCTTCTATTTTCATACTAATGTTATCCATATTCTTATTTTTTTCTGCTAATTCTTCATCCAAATTATCTGATTTTTCATGAATTAAAAAATCCTCCTTCAATGTTTCAATATTTGACATTTCTGAACTTTGTTCTCTCGAAATTTCTATGCTTTGTACATTTGTCACAGCATCCATTTTCAATTTATCTTGCTCATTTGCATACACAATACAAACATCCGACAAATTGCTTCTCTCAAAATTTGTTGTTTCAGTTATTGTCGAATTGTTCACAACATTAGAATCTTTGATATCGTTTGCTTCATCATATATTTCGATTAAATTTAATTTGAAATTATTTTCATCCATTTTTCTTTCCTGAACTCTTCCAGAACATATTACTTCATTCTTGCAATTATTTTCTTCCAATTTTTCTCCATATAAAAAATTTCCCACATCCTTATCATTTGATGAAATTGTAAGTATCGAATAGGAATTATTTTCTTGATGCAATTTTGTATTTTCAATTTGCTGTTGATTATCATTATCAGCACAACTGTTTATTAACATAGAAAGCAAGTTATCAACTTCTTCCATTAATTTACTTTCATCTTTTTCCATTTCATTATCATTTTGTTTAGCTCTTCCTTCTCTTTCTTTTTCTCCTTCTTCTTCTTCGATATTTTCTCTTTTCGTTTTTTGATTTCGAACAGTTGTGCTACAGTTGTTTCTCATTGAATTCAAGTCTTCTTCCTCTTCTTTTTCAACATTTAAAATAGACTTTTCCTTTTCACTCTTTCCCATCTTTTTTTTTTCTTTACCATAAATTCAACAAAAAAAGAAAAAAAAAAGGGTACGCAGAAATCGAAATCAATAAATAGCGTTATTCTTTAGTTTGTATTTCCTTTTCAGAAATTGTTGAGATTCACATTACCTGTGTATAACGAAATTTGAGAAATATTCTTTTTGAATAGAATTTAGACGTTGAATGAGTGATATATTCACAGTAATATCAAAATAAATCTGCAATTAAGAATTCATTAAAATATACTATCAAAAAAAAAAAAAAAACTAATAATATGGAATTGAAAATTTACTATACGACGATAATAAATGATATTATTATCAATTATCTATAAATGCATTCTTTAAATATCATTCAGTTTTGCTATTACAATCAAATTCAACTTTATAAATTAATACCGAAAACAAAAAGAAAAAAAAAAAGGTGAAATTAAAATTAAATTAATTGAATTACATCTGCAAACATATCAAAATGAGACAAATATGTTTATAATGAAAGTATTAATTACACATAAAAAGTGGTATAGTTACGACGAAACTGCACTGCATTGCATGTTAGAGTGATTGTGAAGGAAAAGGGAAATGAATCAAACAGGTGAGAAGATGACAGTTCATTCATTCATTCAGTTCAATTCAGTTCATTCATTCAATTCAATTCAATTCAATTCAGTTCATTCAGTTCAATTCGGTTCATTCATTCATTCAATTTAGTTCATTCATTCAATTCAATTCATTTTCATTCATTCCAGTTGATAATCATGCGGTAAATTTATGTGCAAATAGAAGAAGAGAGTGATTTATTGTATAGATACAATGTCATTTATATTATTGATTTCAAGAGAGAGAGAGAGAGAGAGAGAGGGAGAGAGAGAGAGAGAGAAATTGAAATCTTCTGTTACGGCCAGGTGATAAAGTGATAAGAGTAATCAGTGAATACAAAATTATCTCTTTCTTCTTTTTTGTTTTCATTTTTTTGTAACGGAAAATTTATTGGGAAGTAAAAAAAGAAAGGGAAAAAAAATGAGAGAAAAAAATTTTAGCAACTATTTCACCAGAAAAGGATGCTTGGCTTACCCATCCATCCATTCAATCATTCATTCAGTTCTTTAAGCAAGAGAGAGAAAAGGAATTCGAGAGTTATAAGTGATAGGGATGTAAAGACCTGAGAAAGATCATTGATATATGGTTCAACGAGAGAGAAAAGAGAGACAGAGAGAGAGAGAGAGGGAGAAAGATGAAAAATGAAGAATTGATGGAATGATTTGAGATGACTTCAGGACGGAAAACTGAAATAAATGCATATAAACGGAATAAAAAAGAACTTTCACATTTAAGCAATAAAATTTTATGTAAAGATTATCTGTAAAAGATTATTTCAATTTTTGAAATTTTAAAACTTACAAACAAATTGTTAAATCAATAGTAAACATATATTATGATCATTTGCTATAATAGATAGTGAATGATAATTGTCAAGGACATAGTGATTACAACTTCTGCAATATTATATTGAAGAATTGTGCATGAATGATTGCATAAATCTTTTGAAGTAAACATTGACAATTTGATCTATTTAAACAAAATCTCTTATCAAATACTTAAGTACAAACAGTAAATAATTTAAATTAAATGATTATTAATCATAAATTTTATTAAATCTTTTTGATATGAAATAAAAATGAAAAAAATGAAAACGTTGATTGACTGCAAATCATTCAATATTGTTTGAATGATATCACATGCATTTCTCTTTATGTTTATATTAAACTATTTGAAATCAAATATATTTGTGCTTTCTAAATAAATAATTTTGTTCCTGAAAAAAAAAAAAAAGATTTTTTTTCGGGAAATATTTATTATGAAACAAGTTTAAAATGAAATAAAATTATGTAAAAGTGCAACAAATGAAGAGGAAAACGATAAAATGTTTTCATTTTTTTTCTGAGAAAAATTTAAAAAAAAGTGATAGAAGGCTTAGCTTAGAAAAAATATGAATCATATTTTTATTTTTGAAAATTAAAAATTTTATACTTTCTATTATGAAACTTAAGAACATGCAGACAAAATTATGCTGTGGGTAAAAAAAAAAACGCTTTGCCAGGAAAAAAATGTTGGATGCAACCATTTTTTTCTGCATTTATTGGAAACCTGTCCAATAATTCATATTATGACCATTAATTTTAATATTATATTTTGTGAATTTAAATAAATTTAAAGGGTACTGTTCCGATTTTTGCATTTCAAATCATTTTGCTTATTTTATAATACTTTTAAAATTAAAAGATTGAAAAAAGTGTAGGCAAATTCATGGTGAGAAAAATGGGATATACAAAAACAGCAAATTTAAGAGTTGTTTGCTGATTAACAGATGGAACAATTCTATGCTAAAAAATAAAAATGATGAGCTAAAGCAATCATATATGTGATTAGAGATTCTTGAAAATTTTCCATTTTATTTTCAAATTTAATCCAAATTCTTCTAAAAAAAGAAAAAAAAAATGAAGAAGTTTAATGATTCTTTTTGTAGAAAAAAAGACGATATTTCAAAATTCAAACCGCAAACTAAATTTTAAATTTGATAAAGAGTAAACTTTCAGAATTTCAAATTTTTACGTACACTCTAAATTAACTGAGCAGAGAAAAACTTTAAAGAAACTTTAAAGAAACCTAATAAAAATAACCGGAGAGTTCAACAAACAATCACAATTAATGAAATAATTCAGCTACTTAAAATATTCCAACTAATTTTTCAGTGATAGGATAGGATTTTTTTTTTTGGATTATTTAAGTAATTTACTTCCAATTATTACAAAATATTGCAGTAATGAGTAATTACTTAAGTGATCATACTATACGATATCAAATATTTTTAGAAATGTTTTTTTTCGGCAAATGATTGCTTATCTTAGATTTGTGAAATGACCGACCATTCGATGGCTTTAAGAACAATGCATGAAAGGTGCGATGAGCAATAAAACATTTACTAAAATTCTTTCCAATGATTTAATATGAATTGATATAATCTTCAATATATTCTTGTCTGTTTGAAAATTGACATTTCATTCATTTATTGTTATTTTGAAAATTTTTCATTGTGTCAAGCACATATAAGCAGCATTTAGTTGCATAGAAAAAAGAAAAGATTTAAAAAAAAATGATCAGTCAAACTAATCATTTAGTTACCGGTTTTTCTTTTCTAGATAGAAAATAATATTACAATTTGACATTAAAATTTGCAATGTCCAAAATTTCTCTTTTTTTTAGATTTAATTACAAATCAATTTAATAAAAGTTTATTATCAAGTTCTTATCAAAAATTATTCCCTTGCAAATATTTCGTTTAGAAACACATTCGATACAAAATTTAATGGGCCATTTTTATTGGTTAATAATTATTGGTCAAATAAATTTTAAATAGTTTTAAACAATTTACTGCAATTTAAAAATATCATAAAGATTGTTTAATTGTTATTTAGTTAATCTGTGACAGTGAGAACTAAGACTGAAGGAAAGATGAATTATTCTCAACGCCTCAAAACTTTCCGCAAAACGAAACAAAATTTGCTCCCAAGTGCCATCAACTAACGAAACAGGTGCTGTAAGATGGACGGTTTCGGAATAATTTATTGTGATGAACGTGAAAGGAGATTGGAAGTGGTGGTTTTGACACCTGAGCAACCTCAGGTAAGTCAGGTGGGTCGCTCAAATCTTTGTTACATTTGCAAGCGGAAACTTTTAAAAATTTCTTACTTCATATTTGCTAGTTGTAAGCGAAAAAGGATTATTAAATTCATGATATATTAATAAATCTGATCTTTATGCTAATTCCCTTTCTCTCCAATCGATTACAGTGAAAGTTTATTTCTCTTTTTTCTACAAAATTTATTGAGGTACGACCAAAGTCCATCCGTACTTTTTCAATAAATCTAGATTAAAAAGGAGTGAAGATAGCAAGGTAAGAGAAATTTGAGTTGTAAGGATAAGCGATGAGTTGTGGTGAGACGTAGTAGGGAATAATGTTGTGCAGATGACAATAGTAAGAGCAGAAAGTGATTAAGAAATGAGCCGAAAATGGAACTGATAACTTTTTTGTGATAGCATGTATTGAAATATTGACATAACAAGGAGTAATATTTCACAAAATAAGAGTTGTTTTTTTTTTTTTTTTTTTTTTTGAACTTTTCAAGGTAATTTTTTTATCAACAAGTCTCCGTAGAAAAGTTAAAGATTTTTGATGGTAATTTCAGAGGAACGATTTTCTTACACTTGACAGTATCATTGAAACGAAATCTTCAATTTCGTTTCTGTTGAATAATGGGAACACTTAGTATACAACCACCAACAGGTTCAACACGTAATCTTACCGAAGTATTCATTCTTCTTCGAAATAATGCGCTGCACAACAAATTCATGTTTGCTAATAATACTGCATATGCAGCTGGTTGGTACCATTTTCATCTCTAACAAACCTTGCCTGTAATTTGATCCTTAACAGTTTATAGAATAGTTGCTGAAGAGGTGAACAAAGTGTTGATTCTTATGCTATCGAAAGTAAAAAGAAAGTAAAAAGTTTAACAAGCATTATAGTTTGAAAAGTATATTTTTCATTCTCGAATGCGGCCGATTGATGTACAATGAGCGATATGATTCTGTAGGTAGTTTTTTTTCTGTCCATCTGTACCCGTCACCGTGTGATCTTAGAAAAGTTTGTTCACTAAACATTGAAAGAACTAGAAATTAACCTGTGAAAAGAAATCATTTCCACTCAAATTATCAACTAGATGAAGATATTTTGTTGAAGATGAAACCTATCCATATGAATGATAGCGATAGCATTATAAATCTCGAAAGGCAAGATGCTGAAAATTTCTCTTTTAAAAGCTGTATTTTGTACTTGGAATCATTTATCCGATCTAGTAAAAGGGGCATATAGTTGATGTGCCTCATGTTTGTAAGTGAGCTTTGCTAACTTGAAACATTTCTATAATTTGTTTTTGGAAAATTTTTCTCTTACGAACAAAGTAATTATGAATATTTCAGACGAAAAAATGTGCTTGGTTACTTTGGATGAAGAAACTGAAACAGTTCATATCTCGAGTTCCAGTCGTGTGCCGCCCGACTGGGTCGATTATCTTGACGAAGCACAATATGAACTTACGAGGTGAACGAATTGCTCTGCATTTCCCGAAAGAAAGTATTAAATTTGAAAGAGAAATATCCTGAGTTAACTTTTTATTAACATTAAAACAAAAAGTGCGCTAAAAGAGCCGGTTTATTTGTGTGTGAATCATCACGATTGGATTTTCGTGAAAGCAACAGGTGTGTTGAAATGAGTGACAGGTAAACATATTATTATAAGAAATCATGTAATTTCTTATAATGATTTTTTATTAGACCAAACTGACATAAATAATTATAAAGAAAACAATAAATTGGTTGAAGAATGGAGCGTTTTTTTGATTACATGATATAAGATGAATGAGGCAGTGGAAATAGTGTAAGTATTTCCGTAAAATATTAGTGAGACTATTTGTAGAGCGTATCTATTTTTTTTTTTTTTTTTTTTTTGAACCTTAAAGTTTTCTTTATTTCTATCAATTTCGCAGGATACGATTACGTTTGAAGCAAATTCGGGAAATGCAACAGAATCACATATCGAAGCCAACTTTCTTAGAAGATTTGGAGGCTCAAAAAGAAATGGACAAAAGTACAGATGAAGTTACGGAAATGTTTTCTCATTGTCAACGCTTAATCGGGTTTCTTCCCATTTAACTTTTAACATATTCTTAATCTTTCATGTTTTACATTCAATACTAGCTAATATAGTAGTGCAGTAATCATTTCATTAGTTTATAATCACAAGTGATGTCAAGTTCCATATTGTAATTTGAAGAATATAGTAAATTAGTTTATAGCACAACGTATTCTTGATTTTGTTCTTTTTTTGACAGCTTTTTTGCAGGATTTTGTCCAGTGATTATTTTTTCTGTAAAATATGTGGAGTTTTTTTTTGCACTTATCACTGTTTTTCAAGATAAGTCCTGTGGCGAGTCATTTTTTTAGATTTATTGAGAAAGCCAATGTTATTGAAAGCGCGAAACAATCTCTGTTACGTGGAAATGTAATTTCAACATTGCGGTTGACACTGAGTAATCTGGCTGGAGACTTTCGCACAAGTCAGGCAAAATTTTTAAAACAAATTGAAGCACGTAAAGAAACTGTCAATTCATATCTTCTTGCATCCACAGACTGGGTGAATACTGAAGTTCTTGATGATGTACCAATCGATTCATCACACGATGGTTTGTACTTCAATAGTTAGTGATATATTTATAATGTTGTGAGGAAGTTTTCCTCTACATTAACTGTGAAATACAAGTTTATCCTTTCTTTTATGCTTAGATTTTCCATAAGTCGAATCTTAGTTAATTTAATCTTTTTTTGGTAGAGTGTTGCTAACTGATAGCATCACTTTTCTGTTATTTTATTATCTAGATCACATTGTCCAAATTAGAGTGACTCTAAATTAATGAATTCTTGCAGAAATATATTTGATGTAACATAATTTCAGTTTTTTATGTAGTTTCTATACTTCTCTGTAATAATTTTCATGCTTTTATTTTACTTTATACATATATATATATATTTAATTTTATGATATAAAAGGATTTCAGGTCTTACCATGGAACAAATACAGTTGTTATTACAAAATGCTGATATGGTAAAGGAACGTGAACGTGATGTGATTAGTGTCAGTAAATCGATTGTTGAGTTAAATTCTTTATTTAAAGATCTTGCTTCTATGGTTGTTGATCAGGTATGTGAAATAAGCTAAAGTATTGGAAGATTTTTGTAGTAATAACTATTTCATAGTTTTTGAAATATGTAAGCTTTAATAGTATTTTTTTGTCTTGTTTTTTTTTTTTTTTAATTTTTTGAAACAGGGCAACGACTTTGAATGCTCCCATTCACAATAAAATATTAGTTTTTAGTTTCTTTGGAAGGTTGCAGAGTTCAAATTTTAAATAATTTAATGGTTTAAACTTGTTATAATCTTACAGCTGGTTGTCATGTTTAATGCAAATTTAAATATTTGGACATTTTGATATTCGTTTGTTTTTAACGTCAGGGTACAGTCTTGGATCGAATTGATTATAACGTGGAACAGGCAGCGCTGAAAGTCAACTCCGCCTTATCAAGTGTGCAGCGTGCTGAAAAATATCAACGAAATGATAAAAAAATGTACTGTATACTTGTTTTGTCTGCAACAATCATTATTTTACTTATTCTTCTTATTATCGTGAAAACTTGACATTCTTATGTCTAAGATTCTCTCTATCCGACTTTTGGAGTTCCACTTTTTTGGAAGAATATACTGAATAAGAAAGGGGTAGCGTTGAAGAGAGCTGTTGTTATTTATCGTTATCTCTATAGATTTTACTGATTCATTAATGAATAATAAATGTGGAGCATCATAGCTATAATATCGTTCAGTTAAACAGTTAATTTCAAAATTGAGTAGTAAATCTTCTGGTATGTCTAATGCGACTCTTATTTAATGCTCTTGAAATAAAATATGATTTCAGTCGCTTTATATTAGGCTACAAAAATTGAAAAAAGCTTCTTTAATTAAGCTCTCATTATTAAATGTTTGCTCCTTCAGTGATGATTTTTTTAAGTGATTGTGATTTTTCGGTTCTTCTCCAAACCTCTAATTGCATCATTCATATCTAGATGTTATCATTGTGTTTTTTCTCTTCGAACATTCCAGATTGTTGCAATTTTTTTTTACTCTCTGCTTCCATTTTTGTTACTGCTTCATAGTGATATTTATGCTATCGCGCTTCCAGGTAATATTGGTAACGATAGGCAGCATCGTAATTGTGATATTATTCATTTTTAACTTATTCACAATTTCTCATTTCTGTCATGTTGCATTTTAATATAAGATTTGTTGTTTCCTTTTAGCTGTTAAAATTGTTTCAGAAATAGAATTCTGCACTCCCATAAGTAAGCATAATTGTAATGCTGCTTGATTTGTGATTATTTTGAAATGAAATGATTTGAGATTTTTTGCGGTTTATAGCTAAATGTGGTGTAATAATATTGTTGTTATCGTGTTGTTAGTATTATGTGAAATTAATAAAATATTCATTCAACTTTTGTCAAAGTATTCGAGTGATCTTAATAACATAAAAATGGGATGAAACAGATTTGACTATTAAACTTTTTTTTCTTGAAGCCATGTGGTTGACAATCCTGATAGTTAGGTTAGTGGACTAATGTGGGTTACGTGTGACCCTGGGTCGATCGGTTTGTTTTGTTAATTTCCTTAGTTTAATTTCCATCCTATGTGATAATTGAAGAAGTATTAGCAGTATTGTTTATTCTAGGATGCGTCAACAGACATAAGAATCATTTTGTTGTCATAAGAATCATTTGTTGAGATCGAGCTTGATTTTCCCAGTCGCCCGTCTTTCAAGTATAAATATCTAGAAATTGAAAAACATTTTTAAGTTAGGACAGAATTGGTAGTAAAAAATTTGGAATTTAAATACTATTTTATTTTTTGATTGTTAAAAGAGAATTGATTAAAGAAATTTTCAATCATTTTATACTTATTAATGCTAGTGGTTTGGTTTCTTCTAGCTGGCTTACGCCAGGTAGTAAATAGTCGATTTGGTCTACTTGGTACATTTTTTGTTAGAATATTTGTAAGAGTAATCTTTTGATTGAATTAAATATTTTATTGTGAAATTTGATAAATTTGAAATATTTATTCTATGCTGAATAATTAATAAAAGCTTTGAAAAAATTAATTTAAATTAATAAATGGTATTTATTTTTATTAGGTGCTTCATTATATATGGAATGTACACATCATTTACGATGTTCAGAAGCAGATCGAATTCGTTGGTTTGAGTTACGTGAGCATGTCCATAATTTGATTGAATTAGGTAATATTGCACGAGAAGATGGTTACATTATTGAGTATGTTTTAATCATTTCAATAATTTATAATTTGTTTATCAAATAACAAATAATATAATAAGAAATTTAAGAAAAGAAGCAAATTAAAAAAAAAAGAAAAAAAAGAAAAATGGAAATAAGTTAAAAACAAAATAAAATTCAAATAATAATAATTTGTTGATTTTGAAGAAAAACCAAACTTCGTCATTCATTACGATATCGTGATTATTTATGTGCTGAATATCGAACAAGTGGCTATTTACTTTATAATGATAGCAGTTATCATTTGCAAGTTGCATGCATGTGGGTAGGCGGTGAAATGAATGCAACTTGTGGACTGATACCATCAACTGATAAGCCATTCGGATATCATGAACCACAGGAATGGCGTCGAATGCTTTTTGTTTGTTCATTTTAATTAGATGGAAAGATAAAAGAGGAAAGGAAGAGAAAACTATCATAGATATAATATATTTTATAGTTATTTTTAATTTATCAGTAAAACTAACACATATATTTTAATTCTTTCTTAGCATTAAAAAAAAAAAATTTATTTTTCGATTTTATTCTATTCTACTTGAAATATACATGCATAAACAATCATTTTTAGTATATTTAAAAAAGAAAAAAAAAATGATATATTCTTATTGCATTTTAAATTATGTTTACTTTACCTTTTTGTCCTTATATTTTCTTTTCTTTGTTTTCTTTCTCTTTCTCTACAGATTTTTTTTTTTTTTATTTTGTCATAACGATTATTCTTGCTTATCATTTAATCAGTTCTTATTGTCAAGAAAAAAAAAAAAAAAAACTGCACAAAAAAGAGAAATTTTTGTTTTCTCGTATTTCACAAAAAAATGTAAATGATTTTATTAATTTAGCAATGCAATAGCACTTGAAAATTGTTTAAATCATTTTAATTTTTAACAAAAATCAAAAAAAAGCAGATAACAAGATTTATAAAAAAAAAAAAATGATTGAAAAGCGAAATAAAAATAAAAAAATAATCTTGATAAAAAAAATAAAAAAAAATCTTGACATAAATACTGGCTGTATTAATTGGACTTTAAAATTTGAATTAATAGTTTTATTCGATAGTTAAATTGATAATGCTAATTAAATTTGATAATCAGTGCTACATTTATGAGATAAGATGACAAAAATAATTTGTTAATATTTTATTATCTCATAAATTTAGTATTATCATATCAAAAGTTGAATTATTTATCTTCTAGTCAACAATTAAATTATTTACTTTTATTTATCTTGTAATGTCAAAAATTTCTACTATGGCACATATGAATATTTTGAAAGTAGCACAGTAATATTTTATTTTATTGAAATTTTCTCGTAATTTCAAAATTTTTAAATTTCAAATTTTTTGTTTTAATTTTTTATTTTCTTCTTAAATTACTCTAATCAGATTTACAAATAATTCATTTTCGCTTTAGTTATACCATAATTTATATATTCAAAATTTATTTTCATTTATTTTTTATTATCTTATTTTCCTTATTGTTTATGACAATTAACTTTTGATATCTCAATTTTTTTTTCTTAATCAAATTATTTTTTAAAGTTTGCAATTTAGTGTTAACATTTTAAAAGAATTTAATTAAATTCAGCAGAGAGAGAGAGAGAGAGAGAGGAATACCTTTAATAGTTTTATTCAAATATGCAAAAAAATGATATACCATAAATATTTCTCAAATGCAATTAAGGAAGTATTGTTACAAATGATTAATCAAATTATCATCATAGTGGCATTTATCTGAAATAATTTATTTTAACACAGAAAATTTTAGCATCAAAAATTTTTGTTTCTTTTATTGAATTTAATTTAATTACTTTTGAGTTACAGTTGCTGCGTCGAAGTATCGGATGTTCAGATGAAGAAATACGTGAAATCAGAAAAGTGGGTACTGTTTTTTCTCCTTTTTTTTTTTTTTTTTTTTTTTTGAAAAGATAAAATTTAATTTATATAATAGATTAAAATGATATCAGTAAGTAAATTATCAATCAATTTTTGTGGCCTTTTTTTTTTGTCAAAAGTTGTCATACATCCTTTTTTTTTTTGTCATTTCCGCTCTTAAAAAAATGTTTAGGTTTTACAAATTTAAAATTAATTTGTGGATATGAGCAATTCTGCTCATCAATTTATTTCTTCTTTGTTTTTCTTTCTCTCCACAAATTTATATTTAAATTTTAAACTGCAGATAAAATAATTTCTTCATTTAAAATGTTATGTTTCAATCTTATTCATTTTCAATTAATTAACCATTCCTTGTATTCTTGAAAAATGCTCTAAATTTTACTTCATATCACTCATATAATTCTTATCAGATAACAGATATATTTCAAATCCAATTGAAAAATTTTTGTCACCAATTCAAATTTAACATATCGTTCTAAAATAAGATATAAACTATCAAAATTTCTGAACTGATTTATTTAAAATAAAACATAAATTCAAAGTTTGCATTTTATCAAAATTTGTTAGTATGCTAAACTTTCCATTTCTTGATACTTTGATTTCATTAAATTAAACAAAGTAAATTTCATTTTTTTTTTTTTTTTTTTTTGAATATTTTCCTATTCCGTAAATTTTTTTGTAGTTTATATTTACGTGTAGCATTATTGTTGTATAATGTCCCGAAAATTTATGATTATAATAAAATGAACATTAAGGTAGACAGTTTATTTTTTAATCAGAAAACGGTAATGAAAGTGGAACGTTTATCGCTGCATAACATACTTTACAATCAATTAGTTTAAATGAAAAAATGATAATTTAAAAAGGTATAGGTGTTGAAGAAGACAATGAAAGGAAAGAATTAGAAGGAGAAAGGGTGGAGAAGGTTAAAATTGAATGAAAACAAAGGCAAAAGAAAAAAAAAAAAGCTGTAAAGATAAAATAAATAAGTAGATGATAAATGATACAACTGATATAAATCATCATTGTTTTGTTTTTTAAGCAAATGAAATTCTCGAGAAATTTTTAAAATCAGAATAAAATCAGAAAATTGATGAATCATACATTTCTTGCTATTATTTTTTTTTTCTTTTCATTGTAGAAAAGAAAAAAAAGAACTATATGAGCTATTATTATTCTTACTTTTTTCCCTTTATCACTTATCATTTTTTTTTTTTTTTTTTGCAAATGAATGATTTCTGATAATTGAATGTAATATTTTAGAAGTAGTAAATTTCATTTATTAAATAAAAATTTTAATTTTTTATTTCAATTCCCTATTAATATAAATTTAATAATTTTTAGGTATCAGAATTATTTTATTGTACAGAGCGTTGTATTCAAGCTGGAATTGGTTACTTACCAATGATGTTAATTATGGCTTCTGTGATACTATCACTTTTATCATTTTGCTTTTCCTAATTGTAATAATAATAATAAAAGTACAACAATTTATAAATGATTGCAATTGAATACATATTTAGTGATTATCTGTTGGATATATGAATAATATTAATTAATTAAATTAATTAATTAACTAATTTTTTTTTCATTTATGACTTCATAATTCATATCATAATTATCATTTTAAATTAAACACGAAATCGAAATCGAAATGTAGTGCCGAAATCTAGAAATGTCTTGTTAGTTTTTCTTTAAAAAAAAAAAAAACAAAAACAAATAATTTGAAAATGAAGAAGGTATTATTTGTTCATATTGAATTCAAATTTATTATGTCACATTTTTGGAATCTATTTTTGATGAATACTTAATGAATGAAAAAGTGATTAAAATATGCTTTAATAATGTGCAACATTTTTTGTTACTTTTTTATCTAAAAATATTTCCAAAAAAAAAAAAAAAAAAAAAGGAATTTAAAAAAAAATATACTTTTGAAACAGTTAAACTTTTGTAATAACACATTTGAAACAATTGAACTTTCAATTAATAATAAAGTTGTAGTAAGTTGTATCTAATATTTCAGGAAAGATTCTAATATTCAAATATCAATAATATCGGTAATCCACGATTTAGAATTTTATATAATATTTCTAATGAGAGAGGTTAAATTCTCTTAATTTAAATTTAAATTAAAATTGTTACAAATAAAAACTTTCTACTTTGCAATTTCTTGAATTATAAATTCTAACGAACAATGTTATCTACCAATGTTTTTCATTTTATTTTTTTATTTTTTGCTGTTGTTGGAGTTTTAAGTAATTTGGTAGAAAAAAAAATTAACCTTAGAGATTATTATATTAATGCCTGAAATTTTAAATTGTTACCGTTTTTCAATAACTTTTGTATATCAAATAAAATATTTATACAAAGAATTGATAACTTTTTCTAAGTTTTTTGTTTTTATTTTAACATTTTTACAAATATAATAGTTTTGAGTTTAAAATTGATATAAATGAGGATAATTTCGTTAATTATTACTTAATATTATTATAATTAACTTATTGAAAAGAAAAAAATTTTTTCTATTTTTAACAAAAGTTAACTGCTAGGCTTTTTAATGGTAATTTATAAGTTTAAGACTAAGTTATTCTTGCAATAATTTTTTTTTTTTTTTTTTTTTTTAGCAATTTATTTTGTTTTTTGACATTGTTACTTTCGGTTGAAACAAAGTTAATTACAAGTTTTTAAGTGAAGCTATCAAAAAGTATAAAAAATTTTAAATTTCCATTTTTAGTATAACTTTTTATGCAAATTTTTATCACATATTTTGTTGTGATTAATTTGTATATTTTATTTCGAAAAAAAAAATCGACGATTTGTTTTTTGTTTTTCTTTTACAACATTACAACTATATTTATGGGCAAATTTTACATAATAATAAAGTATCATTTTGCAGAAACTACACAATAAACCTACAAAACAATAATGAAATATTTCCTGAATTTAAACCATAACCTCAAATATTTTTCATTAATTCAGGCAATTTTTTTTTATCAAAAAATAAAAATCCATTTTAAAAAGAAGGCTTAAAAGGTTACTGCCTTAAATTGGAAATTAAATATGTGAAATTTCACAAATGAATGATATATTTCTTTTATTATATGCAAATGTATCCGTGTATGCGTGTATGTATGCGTGTGTGTATGAGTGTGTGTGTGCGTGTGTGCGTGTCTGTCACGTTCTGTACCATATTAATTTGTTGAACCAATTTTATGGTGCAATGATAACCCAGGTAATAGCAGTGATAATTTCAATAAGGCAGTATAATAAGATGTGAGGAAATGATTAAATTTGTTTGCATTTCTTAACGTCTGGTACCATCTTCGAAGAATACACCACCATCGATAGCACAATATTTCGGACATACACCTCGTTCACCAGCTTTGCCAGGTGGCCCTTGTGGACCAGGTGCACCAGGTAAACCATCCGCTCCAGGTTGTCCATCTGCACCGGGTGCACCTGGTGGTCCTGGTCGTCCGGCTGCACCATCATGTCCTGGTTGTCCCGCTCGTCCTGTTGGTCCTTGTGGTCCTTGTTCTCCTTAAAAAAAGAAGGTACATTTTCTCATCTATATTATATTAATTTAGATTTGTATGATTCAAGCAATTTCTCTGATTTCAGCAACAGTTACAGTGAATTGTGATTTATGAAATAAATTTATGTGGCTAACCTGGTTCGCCCGGAGCACCGCGTTGAAGTGGTTCATCTGGGGCATTTTGTCCAGGTGGACCGTTTGGTCCAGCAGGTCCTGGCGTACCTGGTGGTCCTTGTTGCCCTTGTGGTCCAGTCTCACCTGGTGGTCCATCAAGTCCTGGTGCACCTGGTGGGCCATCTGGTCCTGGATCTCCACGTGGCCCTGGCATTCCTTGTGGTCCTGGTGGTCCAGGCGGGCATGGTTTACATGGTGGTGGAGTAACCGGCTCACACGGTTGTGGTGGCGGTCTTCCAGGATTACCTGGAAGGCCTGGAGCACCAGGCTTACCTGGTTTACCAGGTCTACCTGGTGGTCCTTTAGGACCAGCTGGGCCAGTGATACAACAACCTTCACATTGGTCTGCCTGACGAGCTGTCCGGTTGTGTCCAACAATTGGATACTGACCGAGTCGCTCCACATCTGTCCAAGTTTCTTTTGCAGATTGCTGAAAATGTCACACTATTTTTTGTACCTCCAATAAAACTTCTAGCAAACACATAAACTTTCTTTCTTAAAATTCTCTCAGTTATTTCATCAATTTCGAAAAACGGAAATTCTTTCAGCTAATTATCTTTAAAATTCTGAAATTTTTTTTTTCACAGTTATAAAATGGTTATTTAATAGAAACAATTACCATAAATTACTATAAATTATTACTGTAAACAATTACCATAAAAAGATTTGATGAAAGAATGATGGAATACACTCGAAATAATTATTTTCATACTTTTCATCTGATGAAATTTTTGAAAAACGAAAAAGTAAAAGTAACACCATAAACTATTACATATCTCTTCTTATAATATCATCCAGGTAATCTTATAAAGTAGGTTTAAAGCTTAAAAGGTATATCATATCAAAAAATGATTCCAAAATCTGAAAATGCTAATGTTAGCTAATAAAATTGAGTTAGCTGTTATACATATATATGTATAATTATCAAATATTTCTCTCTAATCATTGATAAAAATTTAGGAAAAAAATCCAAATTTTGGATAAATCAAAAATTGGAATTCGAAAATTTCAAACTATTTTCTCTTGTTTTATCTAAAATTATTGCATTTTCAGCAAATTTATTAAATGAAAAAATTCAAAGTTTAAAAATGCTCCAAGATTTCATTTTTACTAATAAAAATATGAAAATGGAAAATTTCTCTTCATTATTAATGATAATAATGTAATAGTAAAATTATAAGAATTATTAAAAGAGGATAAAAAACAGTAAACTTATGTAACTTAACTAAGCTTACTATTGCAGTAAAACGATAATTAATTTTTTTTTTCTTTTCTTCTTTACATAGATCACATTTGTAATTTCAAAAAAATAAAATAAAAATTTCAAAAAAAAAAACGAAATTTTTTTTCAAATAAGTTTCATTCATACAATGAAAACTAGAAAATTGAAAGAAATTTCTTTAAAAAAAAAAAAAAAAAAAAAGAAGGATGATTCAATTTATAGAAATCATCAAAGTACAATTTTGCTGTTTGTAACGGTGTGACGATCGTCTCTTAATTGATTTACGTAATTAGATATTATCGTAATTTTGCACACAATGTTTATGTTATTTTCTTTACAGATTATTTATTATTCTCTGTGAAATTTTTCACTTCAAACTTATATTAAGGAAAAAAATAAAATTTTTAAAAAATTTCTTATTTTTCGAAATATTTTACTAATAATAAGATCATTTTTAAATTTTATTTTTGTTTTTTGTTTTTCTTATTGGAATTAAAAATCAAAATAAAAGAATGATTGTATTAAGTTAGTTGATATGTTTGTTAAAGTTATGGTAAAATGTTGAATTATTAATGAATTTTTTTTTTTTTTTTTGAGATACTAAAGAGTTTTATGATTGCAAAAAAGCAAAAAAAGAAAAGTTTATGAAAAAGGGTATAAGATAGTAGTTAATGATAAGAAATGATTAATTATCTAAAAAGGATAAATGGGATAAAGGGAGAGGAGGACAAACCTTGCAGAATGCAATTTCGGTATGCATTTGTCGCCTTACATGATGTATGTAATTGTAAATCATTGGAAGTGTGATGCATACTGAGAGGACAGCAACAATGCTAAATGTCACCGCGGAATAAGCGACAAATTTGTAGGCCTTAATTCGATTTTGCACTTCCATTCCTTCTGAAGGCTTTTTTTAAATTTCTTGACAGAAGTGGATGAATGAGCCTTCCACACAAAAATACCTTTCTTTCCGAAGGGTATAATGTGACAATGAAGTGATACCGTTCAAGCATTGCTGCATTCTTTAAGTACCCGATCAACCTGCTCTACAACCCACCACACCTCCTTAACCATTTGTTTTCTTTTCCTATCTGTCTAGCTATTGGTACCCTGTCACCTAAATTTGACAAGTACACTCCCATCTGTCTACCTTTAATCTGTTACCTTGAATATCATTTCAAAGATAGGGTAAAGTTCTCCCGTAAATTTTTTCCTGCTCTCACTTTTTCCTGATCATTTCCAGTTTCACCACATTCCAATTGATCATGAAAAAAGTTAAATCAGCCAAGCACTATACAGGAAAACAAACCTATCTCTCCTCCTGAAACACCTTCTTTTCCCACACTTCTCTCTCTCCCTCTCTCTCTCCCTCTCCCTCTCTCTCTCTCTCTAGTTCTTCTGAAATATCTTGTAGAGTTCTAAATTTTTCTTTCCATATGAAAAAGAAAAAATGTAATGAAAAAGAGAAAATTTAGCTCCTCGAAAAGGCGTTCTTCATTTCGAATTAGTCTAACAAAATTTCAATTAATTTTTGAGCTATTAATTGTCTTCAAGCTATCACTCAAAGTTTATTCTCATCAAAAATTTTAAATTTTGACGATAATTTTGAAAATTTTCCTTAATTTTTTGAGACTGCTAATCAAATAGCTATCAATTTTGTCGTGTAAACCTTAGAAAACTTAGTATTAAATATTTATTCATTAATTATGATTTTAATTCCATAATGAATAACCAATAATTTTATTTGTATTTATTTCCCATGAATGTAAGTCTAAAATTTTTTCATTATTTCTAAAAGCAACAAATGAATGAGTTGTTTCAATTTATTTTTTGCAATATTATGCAAAGTTTTCTGTTTAAAATTTGTAATTAAATTTGGAATTAGTGTAAATGTAAATGAATATAGTAATTTGGTAAAACCGTTACCTTTCCAAATTTTAGTTTCCATGAAAAATTTTAATCTTCATACCAAATTCAAACTTACTTCTTTCAAATTCGTTTAAAAATTATTCAAATTCACCGAATATCATTAAATATAGTAACAAAAACACAAGTGAAATAATAAGAATGCAATTTTCATTTTGTCATTTTTTAATTTCGTTTTCATTCCGAAAATTTTTACGTACATTAGTAGAGGTAACGTTACGTAACGTAAAAGTGATACAGAGAAAGATAAAGAAAGTAAATATTCTCTCTTTCTTCTACTTAATTTACAACAATTTTTTTTTTCTCTTCTAAATGGTTTACAATAGCAAAATGAATATTTCTTTTGCTTTATCGTCATTTTTGACTAACGAAATTTATTATTTTAAACTATTTTATTATCATTATTAATTATTATTATTTTATTATTATTATTATTATTATTATGCATAGAAATTTGAGCAATTTAACATTTCAACTTTTTTTCTACAGTGATCAAAATTTGATTATAATCGCTTTAGCCATTTAAAAACTACATTGTTTTGGCAAAGAAAACAAGGTTATCACAATAAAAAATTATTAACCTTCAAAAAATTGTGAGATTTTTTAAAATAATGAAAAACTATTTGAAATAATTTTGAAATAAACAAAAAAAAAAAAAATTTTTTTTTTTTTTTTTGTAATCGAAAAACAAATCAATCATTATAATTAACAGTTGTAAGCTATCAAATTTTGTTTTATTTGCATTTTTTTCTAATCTCTGTTTTATTGCCAATAGCTAAATTGTTGCAAAATTTCCATTAAATAGGAAATCAAATTTAATTTATCCAATTTCTATCAAATATCATCACTAAAAATTTTGTAATAACAAATATTTTTTTTAGGCAAATAAAATTAAATATAATGTAAAATAAATGCTAGCAAAAATCTAATTTTGCTTATCAGAAAAGATTGTCGCTAAAATTTTTTTTGTAATTTATCGAAACACAAATAAAACTAATATTTCAATTAGTTACAACAAAACAGTAGGAATAATTTCCATTCATCTTTTATACTAGAATAATTATTATCATTAATATTATCACAATATCACTATCATTAGTAGTACAATTATATTTTTAAAATATTTTTATTAACTAATTTAAATGAAACAAAAAAAAAAAAAAAAAAATTGTAATAGTTAACAAAAATTGAATCAAAATTGAGGGAAAAAAAAATAATTATATGCGATTAATAAACCAATGATTTTCATTATTTTTTTTTTTAACGTTATTTTAGCATTACGCTATTACACGTGAAAAAAACTACTACGTGAAAGAAGTGTATATGCTAATTGCCTACTATTATATATATTTATAATCTAACATTATTAAAATGGAACTGTTTTATTTTTTTTTATCGTTTTATCATTTATCATTTTCTGTTATATTTAAAAATTTTTCGTTTTTTTTAATTTTTTTTAAAAAAAAAAAAATAATTTTTTTTTTTTTTTTTTTTTTTTCAAGCTTGCAAACATAAAAACTAAAATTTCAACTTTTTTTCTTTTCTTTTTTTCCATTTCCATATAAAAAAATGATAGTTTCAGGAATTTTTCGTACTCATTATTTACACTTCGTTTTGTCTGTTAAACATTTATCAATACGTAATTTCAAATCTTGTTTTGCATTCTTTTCTTTTCTTTCTTTCTTTCATTTTTTTTTTTTTTTTTTTTTTTTGCTGCTGCTATTTTAACATTTCATTAGACAAATTTATTAAAAGAAATTGAAAAGTTTCGAATATGAATCGAAAAAAAAAAAAAAAAAAAACGATCCAAATGTTATTACGGTATTTAAAAAGTGAAGAAAAGAAGAAAAAAAAAAATTTATAAAAAACAATTGAAACTACAATTATCACTTAAATTATTAATTAATATCACTGATAAATTATCATTATAGATAAATTTATCTTTATCAAATTACTTTATTCCTACAATAATACATTTAAAGATTAAAAAAAAAAAGGATACATTTTAAAATTTTTTTAATTGAAATAATAATATATATGTGCGTATGTATGTGTGGTATATGTCACAAATTGTCACAGATTGTTTAATTTCTTTTTTATAAAAAAAAAATGATTCATTTTTATCATTGTAAATATAATTTTACTTTAAAATTTAATAAAATTTTAGAAAACGATTCATTTTGTAAGAAAAAAAAAGAAAAAAAAGAAAATGGCAAAACTTGAAATAAGCAAAATTTATAAATTTGCAAAAATTATTTTTCCATATAGCAAAAAAATAAAATTAATCATTAGCTATAAATTTGACATACTTTATTATTCATTTTCTATGTCATTTTTTGATCTAAATTCACTTTCTGTGTCATTTTTTGATCTAAATTCATTTTCTATGTCATTTTTTGATCTAAATTCACTTTCTGTGTCATTTTTTGATCTAAATTCACTTTTCATTTCTTTTTTTCTTTTAGTTAATTAATGAGCGAAAACCATTTTTGAAGATTCGTTCTTGTCATTGCATTTGTCCTTACCTTAGTTGGAATATTGAAATTGAGTTTGACAGAAGTTAACTGAAATGAAAAAATGTGACAGAGTGACAGTTTAAAGCTACAAATTACACACAAATTTTGTGATCCAATTAAAAAAACTATGCAATGCCATTTAATTCATTGAAAGTTCAAAAATAACTTTTAAATCTATACAAACTGATCTATTTTTATTGTAATATTTATATTTTTTCAAACAAATTTTAGCTAACATTAAATTTCCTTACAATAATAAATTTATGCAATATGAAATGAAATTTTAAATGAGTGTTTGTTGAATAATAAAATGTTTAATGGTAAAAATTCATAGCAATCAGACGGTGTAATGATTAATTCTACTACTTTTTTTTTTTTTTTTTTCTATAAAATTCATTCTTGTTATTCTAATATAAAATTATAGATTAATTGGACATAAAAAAAAGCGAAAAATTATTTGTTATATAGAATACAACAAAGATTTCATTTTCGTCTTTCTACAAATAAACATTAATATCAAACAAACAATTTTTTTTTAAACAAAAAAACTTTCATTATGTGGAATCCATCTTTTTTTTTAAGATATTAATTGAAAATTTCATTATATTAGGTCTATTTCCTTAAGATAATAACTGAAATAATTTTTTTAAAAAAGTGATAACAAAGGAATGACAAACAAGAAAAAAAGTTTCAAACAAATTAAGTTAATTTAAAAGTGAAACTTCAGCACAACTTTTTTTTTTCTTTTTGATAAACTTTTAACAAAAAAAGAAGTTAAGTAATTTCATAGATTGCTGCAAGTTTTACATTAAATTGACATTTGCTGTAAGTTAAAAGTATTATTTGCTTAATTGGTAAACTTTTGAAGTTTCACATTTTAAATTAAATGTATGGGATGAGAAAATTCTATGAGAGTACTAATTTTTCATAATTTAATTTTAAAATAATGATTATAGTTGCTCATTATATATAACTTTACAAAAAGTTCGAAAACATTAAATAAATTTAAATTTCAATGAGTTATTTTATTTGCAAATTTTACTCAACTTTAATTATTAATACAGTGAATCTATCAAAATTAACAAATTCCTCTTTTTTTTTTTTTGAATTTTAACAGCATTTAAAAATTTTTTAAAATATAATACTAATTTTTTTATGATAGAATGAAAATGCTAACAAGCTGAGAAGATTTTGTAGCATTTATTGTAAAAGCATTGGATTGAAATGTACAAAAACTGTTAACTTATCAGAAGTTATACTTCATATATTTTTAACACTAAAAAAATCTATGATAACTGATAATAGCTTCAGGCACTAAAATCAATTTAAAAATTTTTGCTTGTTTTGATGACGCATTTTTCTTTTTTTTTTTAAAATATTTCAACAAGCTTTTTCTAATGATATTGCTATGTAAATGTTCATTTTGAATTTTCAAGAAAAAAAAAAAAAATTC